TTTCCTCCCCAATATTCATCTCTCAGATACTGATTTATTTGTGGGATGAGCCTCCAAACCTGGGATCAGTAACAGCTGATTACCTCACTAACACTCTCAGTTTGACACGCGATTTAGGTCTGTGGTTCTGAACCAGGATAATTTTGCTTCCCCCAGTCCCACTCCAGGGGACATTTGGCAATGCCTGGAGATTTTTTTCGTTGTCACAATTTAGGGGGTGCTACTAGTACTCAGCAGAGAGGGGCTAGGGATGTTGCTAAGCATTCTGTGCTGCTCAGGATAGCTTCCCACAACCAAGAATGGTCCAGCCCAATAGCTCTGAGGTTAAGGAACCCAGGTTTACAGCTTGTGTGTGTGCTGAAGAGAAAAGCATGTGCGTGCGTGTGTGTGCATATGTGGGTGTGCATATGTGTGTATGTGTGTTGTATAGACATACTGTGTTAGCTTTTTCACTGCCATGACTAAAAAACCCGACCAGCACAAATGTAGAGGAGGAAAAGTTTATTTGAGGACTCACAGTTTCAGAGGTTTAGTTCATAGAAGGCTGGCTCCATTCCTTAGGGCTTGAGGTGAGGCAGGACATCATGTTGGAAGAGTGTGGTGGAGGGAAGCAGTTCACATGATGATCAGAAGGCAGAGAGAGAAGTCTTCACCTTGCAGATACAAATATATACCCTAAAGCCAAGCCCAATGCCCACTTCCTCCAGCCACACCCCACCTGCCTTTGGTTACCACTCAGTTAATCCCATCAGGGGATTAATGTACTGATTGGGTCAAGGCTTTCACAACCCAAGCATTTCTCCTCTGAACCTTCTTACATTATCTCACATGAGCTTTTGGGGGACACCTCACATCTAAACCATAACATATACATACAAATGAATCTCTGTGTGTGTGTGTGTGTGTGTGTGTGTGTATTTGCTCACACGTACGAGTATGTGTGTGTACACATATGCATTTGGTATTCTTTCAGGGTTTGGTCTTTAAACAGATCGTACTGACATATATATTTGATTCAGTTTCTCATTTTTTTTCACTGCCAGCATATTTTCAATATCTCAGTTTTTATAAATATGGTCTCTCACTTTCTGCCTGGTGCATCACTTACCCCTGGGCCTCAGGGGCCCAGGTGACTCCATCTCCTTGCCCTCTCAAACACTGCTGGGATGTCATCCTCCCTACACGGATCTCTTAGTGGGTCTGTGCAGACTGGGAGGACTGTTTGGGGCTGGGCTTCCCAGGTCATGACACCCTCCCTAGGTAGATTCTGCCACATTGTTCACGAGTCTTCTGCACAACCCGTGAGGCATGAGAGGTTCTGTGTCCACTTATTCTTAAGGTGTTCTCTGTATTTCTGTGATACGGTGGGTGTGAACTGCTCTTTCGATTTTAATACTTCCTTGACTTCAAGTTAGGTGAAGCAGGCCTTCATGCTCTTTAAGTCATGGTGTCTTTCTGTGAATTGCTCAACCATGTGCTTGGAATCGTCTTTTCTCCTGGGTTTTCCACTTGCTGCACAGCTGATTGATGAGCAGTCTTTGTTCTTTGTTGGATGTTTTGTAGAGATGCCTCAGTCACCTACCCAACGACGCTGTTGGGTTCTTTCTTGAATAGAAATCCCTCATTTACAAAGAAGGGAGCTCCACTTATATTTGCATATTGTTTAAGAAATTCTTTTCTCACTTAAAATGCGTAAAACATTCTCTTAAATTCTCTACAACTAGCCTTGTAGTTCTACCATCACAGCTACGTTTTTATCCACTAGCCCTTTCTATCTATAACAAGAGAGAGAATTTCAATCTTAATTTTCAAAATGTAATTGGCCAATTTGCTAACTATATGCTAAATATTCTTCTTACCCCCAATTAATTTGTGATTCCATTTATTGTACAAAATTCCCATCTGCTCCTAGGTTCTGTATCCTTTTCCCTTAATCTAGTCTTGCACTACTGCCCTGCTATTTCTGTTACTGTGACTTTGTACTATAACAATGTGTGGCAGGACAATTCCTTTCCCTCATTTTCCTTTAAACTTTACATTGCTGTCTATGGACTTCTATTCTTTCATATAAATTCAAAAATCACTTTGTCAATTCCTCACATATTCACAAAATCAGGACTTTGGTTGGGAGACCTATAAATTTATGAGTGAATTCTGAGGAAATTGTATACAGACTTGTATGTTGTTATTCTATCTATGAACATGGTATATTATTTTATTTATATCTTCTATGTTCTGTAGTAGAATTTCAAGATTTTCTTGGTAAAGCTCTGAGTTCATTGTTTAATTACTAGACCCTTTATAGTTGTAGATGAAACCTTATTTACATTTAAATTGCTTAATATTTCATTTTCTAATCAAGTTATTGCTGGTGTAGGAAAAGACTATTGTTTGTTTATTTATCTTTATTTTGTGGGTGCTTTACCACTGAGTACATCCCCAGTCCTTTTGTACTGTGAGACTGGGTCTTGCTAAATCCCTCAGGTGGGCCTCAAACTTGTGCTCCTCCTGCCTCAGCCTCCAAGTCCCTGGGATTTCAGTGCACCACTCACCTTGCTATTGATCGTTTTAAACAGATGTTTTGTCCTGAAACTTTGTTGAAAACTTTATCAAGATTCTGAATGACCCACAGCTTGGCATCTTCCTCTCCCAAAGAGTGGAAGGGAAGACCACCACTTCTCCAGCTCTCCGAGGATTGGCAGCCATCAAACAATCCATGAATCTGGAGGTCTCTCTGAGACTTGCTGAAACGAAGTCATTGGTTTGAAGAGAAGGAAGTCCATGGGCTGTAACTTGAAATGCTTGCATGAAGGGCATAAGTGGCCTAGGTGTAAGGCAACAGGAAGTGGTGGGGCCTGGGGCAAGCCAGAAAGCACCAGCTCTATCCAAAAGGGAAGGATCTCTTCAGCCTCACCTACTTCTTGCCACCCAGTAGCAAAAGCCCAGGTTTTTCACACCTTTACATTTTTAAGGAGAACCTCATATGATGGATTATAACATGTTGGCAACTAATTAAAACTTTAAAAGTTACCAGGTGGGCCCCCCAAAAAAATCATATCTATGGGTTACATTTGTTTCCCGATCGACTGGCCCACAGCCTCTGGTTCAAGGATGCACGGAGTGGAGGGACAATAGGGCAGTAACCTAATGTCACCTTTGAACCTGGCCTTTCCGTTCCCTCTTTCCTTTCCACCCACTCTGCGCTGTGTTTTCTGGGCGGGTTTCTACTCCAGCCACTGGGACACCAGCTTTGGGGAACTGAGCCTAGAACTTAGGAGAGAAGCGGACGGTCAAGGCAGGAGAAGGTGTGGGTTAGACCCAGAAATTCAATCTTGAGGGGTCCCCAGAGAACAGAAGTGTAAGAGGGGTCTGAATTGACAATTAGTCCTCCAGCTTCACGGAGGTGGCTGGCCCTGGAGCTCTGCCGGCATTTCCAGCCTCCAGTGGACAACTGGAGCAGGCTGGGCTGGCTCCATGTGTCCACGGTCTGCACTTGAACCATCCTCTCCTCTTGTTCTAGGTGGGACAATAGGCTGATTGTCCCCAGTCCCTTAGAATGTGACGGTATTTGGAGATGGAGTCTTTAGAGAAGTGATGAAGGTAAAATGAGGTCCAGTGTCTGGACCCTAATCCAACGGGACTGGGGAAGGATCTATTCATTATTAGAAGAGATTCGGGCCCACGCAGGAAAGACCATATGAAGTCACTGAAGAAGACCATCTGCAAGCCAGGGAGAGGACGAAGGAAGAACCACTCCTGCCAACACCTTGATCTTGGACTTCTGTCGCCCAGAAGTGTGATAAAATGAATTTCTGTTGTTTGAGCCCCTCTGTAAGTAGGGCTTGGTTACGGAAGCCCTCCTGAATGAATGCACTTGGGTTTCTTGGAAACTGGAGTACAGAGTTGGGTGTGAGGACTGTGGGGAAATCCTGTAAGTGAGGAGGGTACAACTGGGCACAGTGAGAAGTTGGGTTCAGTGAGATAGAGTTCTGGAGTTGTTCTGAATTGAGGCATAGGGACAGTTTTCCCATAGGAATCATTCTCATGAAGGGAGAGGGTATGATCTTACTCCCAGTGTCTGGAGACACTCTTGGCTGTCACAACTGGGGGAGGGGGAAGGAGCGAGGGAAGAGGGGAGTATGTGCTACTGGCCTACAGTGGGTTGAGGGCAGGATGCTGCTTAACATCCTGTCCTACAACACAGAGCCACTCGTCTCAAGTGTCAAGAGTGCTGAGACTGAAAAACTCCCGTATCAGCAGCCATGGGCTGCTCTTGCAAGGACGTACCCCTGGCAGATCCCACAGCTAAGGGAGATGCCCAGCGAGCAACCTAGGTTCCCAGTAGCTGGGGAGTGGTGTGTTTGCCTTGAAGAGTGGTTCTGAGCAGGGCAAAGAGCCCACTGTCTGGCCCCTGAGATTTCTTTTTCTAACAAATGTAACAACCAACCATGTTCAGGGTACACACATGATCTCTGTTAAGCCTCATGTGAAGCCCAAGAGGTGATAAGATACTCCTACTCCCATTTTATAGTACAAGAATCCGTGACCCAGAGAGTAATCATTCCCCGAGGTTACTGAGCCAGAAGGTTTCAGAACCGGAATTTGCACTCCGGACAGCTAGACTCCAAAGTCTGGCTCTTTTGCAAATCTCAAAGGCAACCTTTGTAAAACAGAGCAATTAACACAGCAGAAACAGGGCCAACTGCAGGCTTAACCTAGATTAACATAAAGCCCAGCCTCAGAGCAGCCAGAGGTCCCTGAACAATATGTGACACTGCAAACATCACGGGGCCAGACCTTGAGCTCAGGGTTCCTGGAAAGAAGTTTCCTGCCACCTTTATATCCACAAATGATAATGGGTTACCAGAAATGATCTCTCATAAGGAGGACTTTTTCTTTCTTCTCTCTCTTTTTTTTTAATCCCACTCAGGGAGAAAGCATGAACTTAGCACTTTGTATGATAACCACAGAAACTATAAAAAAAGGGCACTTTCCAGTAGTCGATTGTATAAAAATAATTTTATTTACTACTGTAAATAAAGTAGTGCAAAGAGTAGTTTAACCCCACAATATTGCATTACTGATTTATTTTTACTACCTTAGCAGCATACAGTATAACGACACTCTGCTCTTCCTTGCCCTCTTACACACACACACACACACACACACACACACCCACGCATACCCCTATACAGACTCAGGCAGGCATCAGGGGTGGGGATGAGACTATGAGCTACAGGCTTGGTTTCTGCATATTCCGTTGCGCCTGGTCTATTCTAATGGGTAATTCGTGGAGAAGACTACACTTAAATACTAAGAATTTTCTGGATGATATTTTATGGATTGCAATTGAAACATAAAAGATATCCAACAATGTCATCAAGTGGTTTGGAAGCACTATGACCCTAGAAAAATTCAAGGAGAAAAATGTAAACCAATTTACAAAGCCATTATCTTCCCTGCACTTCCATCCATAAACTAGTTCTTTCAAGGTGCCTTATAACCTCTGGGTTTTGGAAGTCAAAGATTAAATTGGACTTTAAGGAGCAGGCTCCGGCAAACATGGGCACTGAAACATTATCTACCTTGTGCAAAAGTCAGTTTTCTGTTCTCTGATAAAAGAGAATGAACAAAGGACGAAGACTCTTCAAAATGCCTCTCTGTGTCAAAGAATCCAGATGAGCCACAAGCAAAACTGTGACTCCCCAAACACATGATCACGAGAACAGAAGTTTATGGGGTCCAGTGAACCTCCCCAGATGTCCCTCTGACCAAGATGTTCCTTGGATTTCTTTGAGAACTTTTGGTATGACCACTGTCTGCTCTGGGTACTTCCTTGTAATTTAAGTTTTTTTTTAAAAAAACACACCAAGTGCAAAATTTGCATACAGTGGACAAGATTTTTAAGGTGTTTATCAGGGTAATGCTCTGGCCCTAGCCTCCCAATACCGGCTGTCGAAGGGATCATTGCTCTAGTGGAGAGACCTGGAGTGCACAGTTCACCCACGTGGCTCTGGGTTATTAGTGACTGTGGACTGGTCCTGGTCAGAGGCGTCAGCAGCGGAAGACACAGCTGGAGTTGCAGTGGAAGAGGTGGGGCCTGGGGGGGCCCGGGCTGGTGCTGGAGGAGAACCACTGGCTGCAGAGACACATGCACAACAGGGCTGAATATTCAGAACAGAACCTTTAGGACACCCAACCACACCCAGACTCTAGCAAGCCCAGGAGATGCTTCTAGCCCAGTGCCGCTGACACTAAGCTGAAGGCAACCTTGGAGTCATTCCCTAGGTTCTTGGGACTTTGGTGTCCCCTGCTGTAAAATGGTAGACTGGAATGGATGCACAAAGATCTCTGATGGTTCTGACGGCCTGGGAGTCTAAGTTACTGCATTTATGCCAGAACTAACAGGGCACAGGGCTTCTGGCCCATGTTCCATCCCCACCATGATGCAGACGCAGTGCCAGTCATACATCATAGCAAGCAATGAGAAAGGGGGGTCGTTTGACTCACACTCTTATTCCGTTTGGATGATGTGCCAAACTCAAAGCTCGTTATTTAAATCCATGTGCATAAGGCTTGGGTCTAATGACTTAGCAGTCTGCAATCCTGAGGAGGCTGGGCCTCTACCAGTCCTAGTGAAGCTTATGGTTTTATACTTGATGTCTGCAGTTTCTGAATGACAGTGATTCTGCCCCGAGAGGACAGCTGACAGTGCCTGGAGACATTTTTGGTTGTCATTCGCCTGGGGTGGGGTGGTACGGCTAGCAGATAGTGGACAGAGGCCATCCAACCCAAATGTCAACGGTGTTGGGCCTGATAAACCCTGCCTTAGGTGCTGAACCCGAGAAGAGCCCCCTGTTAAGACTGTGGGCCCTGGAACCTGTCTGCTTTGCTCTTTAACAGCTGTATGACCTTGGACAAGTTACCCACCCCCCACTGCCAACCCCACCTGACAGTACCCCTACCTTCTGGAGCTTTTTCAGGGCTGAATGAGTTAATGCTTACAGAGTGCTTGGAACAGTGCCTGGCACATGCTACGACTAGACCTGGTCACCGGGCCAGTGTATTAACCTGTCTTGATTTCAGGTGTGTGGCTTCCAGGACTGATAAGAGCTGGTGCATTTCTTTCTGGGATGCCTACCCCCCCCCCTTTTTTTGAGACCTCAATAGCCTGAGACAATGCATACAACAGTTTGCCTTTAAGCAGTGATATTAATTAAGCTCAGCAATATTTTTTTAGTCTTGTGCAGGTTTTAGTAAGTAGGAACACATGTCCACCCTGAAATGTATAGATTTTAAAAAGATGTCACCACATACTGACAATCTGACTTCTAGATAAAACCCTTCAAGAGTCCATGCCCAAGTAGCTAGGGTCATCTCCCAAGGAGGAGGGTGAGGAAGGGGCCCCTGAGCCCCTGGCTCTGTACAGGACTTCTGTAAGGGCTTCTCCCTGGCTCCCCTCCCAATAGCTGCAGACTCTGTGGATGCAGAGATGTCCTGAAAGAATACGACAGTGGCAGGGGGACCCCAGGGTGTTGAAGAATGCCGTGACATTTCTAGGGTCATTAAAACCATCACTCTGGCTGGTGATGTGGTGACTGCAATCTGGTGATGAGATGTAAAGACCAGTTCGCTGCAATCAGGAGACCTGGTCTGGGCAAGTCTCATTTATCTGCCACTAGCTAATAATAGGTGACCTTAGCATAGGTACAGAATGGCAAATGTTTCTCTCTTAAGTGCTTGAATTTTGTGGGCCTGGCTTTCCCCACCTGTGAATCAGGGGCTTTGAGCAGATGGTGCCCAGACCCCCTATGACCCTAGGACCAACCTGCCTGATGATCTCTGAGGAAGTTAACACGGCACTAAAGCAAGTATTTTTAACTCAGGGACTGTGTAAATCACCATGGTAACAAGATAAATCAGCAATCAGTTTTCCAATTAAAACAAAAAATGCCAACGTGTAAACGTAGAAGGAACGCCTAATCAACTCGGCCACCACTTACACCTTCTGGTAAGAGCACAGAAGAAATGCTGGTGCTTCCACAGTCAGTTTATTACCATGGAGTTAGGGACCTCGATCCCCTCAGTGGGGGTAGCTGCACAAGCCCCCCCCCATAGCCCATCCTATTTGTAAAGTGGCCCCTTTGTCTCTGCCCACCTGGAATGTGTGCTAATTTCATTACTGGACTTGGAGTCAAGGCAACCAGGAAAATAAGCGTGCTGTTTAAAAAATTACAGAGTATATTCCAGAGCCAAATAGAAGTGATTTGTGGATGACTGGCTGCCTGGGGGACCATTTCCTGCACATTAGTGAGAATAATCAGGAGCTGGCCCCACTGCAGCCGTGGCCACAGGCAGCTGTTGCCTGCTTTTGTATGGCTCTGGGTCTAAAAATGGTTTTTACATTTTTAAACGGATGAGCGAAAATTCAAAGCAGAGGAATATTTTGTGACATGGGAAAAAATATATGAAATGCAAATGTGTCCACGGGAAAGTTTTATCAGAAACCTGGCTGGAATGGCTTCTTCTGAGCGCTAGTGGCAGGATTGAGCTGTGACAGGGACACCCCTGAAAGCTGAAAATGTTTCTTACCTGACCCTTTATGGAAAAAAGATTGCTAACCCCTGTTCTAGAACATTGTCAGAAAAACATCTGCAGGCCAGCTGACCAGATGTGGACATAAAAGAACACAGGGAAACACAGTGGGTTAACTCTGAAATGTCAGAGGAGGTGCAAGGGAGAGGAGCTTGAAATCTTACGCTAAGATTTGGCTACTTCACTTGGCCGTGGGCTCAGCAGGGCCCTGTGCAGGTGTAAGATCACTGGTCACCTAAAATATAAGATTCTTTTTTTAAAGCACTGAAACAAAGGCACTGGCTCATCCATCGAGAGCACTGAAACCTTTCTTCCTAGTGGAGGTGCTTTGGAGTACCAAGGTGGGTACTTTGCGGAACCTCACCACGAAGTCTCCCCAGCTCAGGCTTCTGTTTTTCTCATGGGCACCAGGTTGTGGCATTTTACTTTAAGTAGCAATATCATTAACTGGAAGTTTAGAGAACAGGAAAAGGGTAGGGAAAGGCTTAGTTAATCTTGCTTATATTAGCTTATTCTTTTTTATTTTTTTTGGTACTGAGGATTGAACTCAGGGGCGCTCAACCACTGACTGAGCCACATCCCCAGCTGTTTACATTTTTTAAATTTTGAGATACAGTTTTGCTAAGTTCCTTAGGGTCTTGCTAAGTTGCTGAGGCTGGTTTTGAACTTGTGATCCTCCTGCCTCAGCCTCCCAAGCCACTGGAATTATAGGCGTGCACCACTGTACCTGGCTCATCTGAACTCTTTTTAAGAAAACAGCAGGCTAACCACTTGGCTGGATAGGAAGTGTTGGCTTACATGAGAAAGACACCAACCGGGCTGGCCTGGCCTTAGGTTCCTGGTGGTACCTCAGAGCTGGTGGATCCATAAAGTTTATGCTGCTATTACAGGCTGGGTATCCCTAATCAGAAATGCTCAAAACCGGAAGTGTTTCAGGCTGCAGATCTTTCTGGATCTTGGAATACTTGCACATACATGACATATCTTGGGGTGTGACTCAAGTCTAAGGATGAAATTCATGCATGTTCATAAAACCCTATTCACAGCCTGAAGGTCATCGAGGAGGATATTTTCAGGGCACCTGTGTTTTGACTGCGACCCATCACAGAAGGCACATGTGGAACTTTCCCTTTGGGGCGTTATGTCAGTGCTCAAGAAGTTTCCGATTCTGGAGGCTTTCAGATTCTGGATGTCTTGGATGGGGACTCTCAATGGCCTTTAAGGAGGCAGGAGTCTGTCTTTGAAAGGTGGTTCCTGTTTTATCCCTCTGCCATCCCTTTGCCTTCCTTTGAGCAGCCCGTGGGCTCCAGGTCTTTTGCTTGGGGGGAGGTTTGGGGCAGGCAGAGGTGAACCAGGCTCTAGACATACTTCACTTTGGGATTTTTTTGTTTTGATTTTTAAAGGCTGCTCCATTAGGGCAATTATGCTTGGCGTCCTTGACAGGGAGGGAGAGGGAGAGTGCTTTTGAGAGGAAGCGAGGCAGGGTAAAGAGCTTTCTGGAGTCTGGAAAGGGGCTGGGCCTGTCTGTGGCTGGACCACAGCAGGCCCTCTCCTGGCCCCTGCAGCAGGACTCAGAGCAAAGGCTGATGGGGCCAGACTTCAGCAAGGACTGGAGCTGCCAGGTGACCCATCCAAGGGACATCCAAAGGACCTAGAGGGACAGAGTAGGCCTGGGGCCATATGTGTTCTGCGCTTAGGCCAAGGGCAATCAAGTGCCCCTTGGGCTGTCCAAAACCAGGGACCTTTGCACTACTCCGTGAGGCCTTAGCCTCTGGAAAGAGAGAGCTCAGGGGAATGGAAGCCGGCCGTCAGCGAGGTCCCTTGAAGGGGCCTTGAAGTACAGTATTTGTGGAGTGCCTCTTGCTGCTCTTGATGGATGAGCCAGTGCCTTTGTTTCAGTGCCTTAAAAAAGGAACCTTATATTTTAGAAAGAGTCACACAGCACAGAAAAAAGCATGCAGCTCTGGCAATGCTCTGCTACTGAGGCCAACCAAACTCCTGAAGTGCAGGCGCTACCTGGTTCAGCATGCTTCAATCTCAGGTGAAACACCTGGGGGACATTCCCAGGGGCTCCCAGCTAATGTCGGTGGAATCCTCAGAACCATGTACCGTGTGTCGCCAGACTTGGTCCTCTCAGCTACGACAGGCGGCAGGTGCACTGCTCTGCGTGCTGTTTGACAGAAGAGGAACCTGAGGTGCAAGAGGCTCCCTCCCTTGGCCAGAACCGCAGCCTGATCCTCACAGCACAGGCGCTGCTCACTGCTGTCCTGCACCGCCAGCCTTCTGAACGCAGGACAGTTCCATATGACAAAGGCTGTGGCGTGGTGCTGGCTGTATATTCCAGAGCTGGCAACCCCAGCAGGAGAGTGAAGGGGGTTGGAGCTGGACACAGAATGGACGGCGAAAGCCTCCATGATGAATTGTTAATTTTTAAAAACAATTAACTGAAAAAAAGGCAAATCATGACAAAGATGACTGTCTTCTGGCAGCAGTCCTCAGCAGTCCTGAGCCTTCTGCTGTCACAGGTTCAGCACTGTGCTTACCCTCCGTCCCCACCCTACGGCTTTGGCCAGCACCCGCTGCTGTCCTCCCCTCCCGTGGGGCAGGTCCTGGGCCCTTGGGTGCCATCAGCTCCCTGGAGAGACACTAGCAGCAGAAGCTTTGGCCCCTATCAGCCCAGCAGCTGCCCCTCCTCCCTCCTGTGTCTCTGTTACCTGCCACATCGCTCCCAAGGTCACCTGCTCTGCTGTGCTGATGAAGAACCTCCCTATTTCACAACGACTGACACTTAGCATAAGTGCAAGTCACAGCAGGAAGGTACCCAGGCCCTCACTCCCGTGGTGACTTCTGTCGGGGTGGCAGGTGCCCCTGTGGGGCCCCCTTCTGTAAATGAGAGATTTTTTCCTTTGACTTCTGCCCTTACTGGCCAAAGTCCAGGCTGTGGAACAGCCATGTGGGCATCGCCCTGGAGCAGGTTAGAAACGCCCCCAGACCCCGAATCAGAACCTGCCTTTAATACAATCCTTGTGAGATTCCTGTGCACATAAAACTAAGGAGCTAGAATTTACATACGGAAAAGGTTATTTTATTAGAATTGATTTCTTTATATTCCTGTTGTGGCATTCTATTGGTGTAGGTTAATTATCAGGATTTCACTTCAAGTGGAAAAGTATTCCAGAATATCCTTATGTGAGGGACCAGTGGGTTCAAGACAGTCGATAATCATTGTTTTAAAGTATTGTGATTCTGAAAAATTGTCGGCCAGTCTGTGGCCCTACATTTCTCTCGCCTTTATTTGGTCTTTGGGAAACTATTTCACCTCTTGGGCCTCAGTTTCCTCATCTGTCTAATGAAGGGCAAAGAGTGAAATGGTTTTCAAGATCTTCTCTCGGTTGGTCAAGAGGAAAGGAAGCAAGCGCCAGAAGAGGCAAACGAAAGAGTTGAAAAAAGCCAGGAAAATGTGTGAAAGAAGCGAGAAGACGCTGGCAGGGCCTGGAGGGACTGGGTGACCTGAGTTTGGAGACGGGAGGGGGGCCGCCTCTGACGGCAGCAGTCCCCTCCGCCCATGAATTTTCATGGCCACCAGCTGGCACAGAATCATAAAGACGATTTCAGCGCCTCTGATGGAGCCCCATTCGTAATCATCAGCACAACATTTCCACGGAGTCAAAATGACAAAGATAATTTGAAATGGAAAACAGACAAGATGCAAAATAAATGTCTTCTACCTGGTGACAAATGTCGGGGGGGGGGGGGGGGGGATGTGCGTCGGGGTGACTTATCGCCCAGCAGTGGAGGAGGCAGCCAGCTTGGGAGGACCTGGAAGGGCTTCCTGTGACTCCTCAGTCAAAGCAGGGAGGTGATCAGGGACAGCAGCCCCCTTCTCACCAGGGACAGCAGGGGCCTTGTTCCTTTTGCTGTTCATCGTTTGCTACACAAATAACGGCTAGGCCGAGGCTCCCGGGCCTTTCTCATCCTAGTTGACCCATTCGTGAATGCCGCTGTTGACCTTTGTGAGTCACCATGTCCTTCTGGAACCATCCAAGATGGCGGGAAGCTGGAGTCCTCACCAAGAGGTGTCTGTAGGTTTGAGTACCTGGGAGGTGGGAGCTGCTTGGCAGGACAGGGTGGGTCCCCCAACTCAGCCTATAGTGCGACAGGGGAAAATGAGTAGCTCACCCTTATCCAGAGGGCCATGGAGTGTGGTGCATTCAGCCCCTCCCCACACCCACGGCAGAATCTGCATTTAGTATTATTCCTGCAGGATTCTTGCACCCATTAAAATTCAGAAGCACTAGGCTAAAATTTTACATATGGAAATGGATACTATTTTATTATAATTTTAAACATTTCCCTTTATATTGCTATCAGGGCATCTTCTCATTTCACTTTTCTTTTTCACGTTTTATCTCTCTGGAAGTAGCAAGTATTAGATGAATGAGGAATTGGGAGATGAGTTAGGTTAAGTAACTCACCAGAAGTCACACAGCTAATGAGTAGCCAAGTCTGGACTTTAAGCCCAAATAGAAGTGACTGGGGACACCGCTCCCCTAACTACCAACTCAACTCGTATTGGCTCAGAAAAGTAACAGTGATTCAGTGGCAACACAGCTAGGTGACGTCCTCCTCGGCCCCTCCCTCCGTGTCCCCGTGGCTGGGGAGGTTTGTGCGCTGTGTATTTGCTTGTCTCCTCACGCCTTTGCTTATTGGACTAGAACAAAAGGGAAGGCCTAATGCAGGAGGGGCTTTTGAGCTGGGTTTGCAGAGGTACAATTTTGCTAGACGATGTATTTTCAACAGGAGAGGATATTTTGGTTCCATTTCTTTAGCTTTTTTAAAAATCCTTACTTTGAAAAATGTATTAGTTTTGTGACCTCCTGGCAGCCAGGGACTATGACATGCTCCTGGGGGTCCCTGTGCTGTGCATGCCCAAGCTGAAGACGGGCCATGGCACTGTGAGGGTGTGGGAGGGAGTGCCCCCCCTCTGGGACGGAGTCCCCCCCTTTCCACCCCTCGGTGGCTTTGAGAAGGCTTTACCTGAGACATCCCGGAAGTGCTGCACTGTCCCAGCGATCACCACGGACAGCAGGAAGGTTCCCAAAAAGTAGATCTGCAGACACCAGAAGCACACCTCAGATGACTGACCCAGGCAGGGGCCACAGGGCAGGGCTGCGGGGACGGTACCTACCAGGGCAGAGTGCAGGACAGCGCCCCAGAGAAGCCGCAGGTGGAGGTACCCCCAGGCCAGGGAGCAGGGGCTGAAGGACTCCTCGCTGCTGTGGCTCCAGCACCTGCCGACAAAGCCAGGCCTCCCGTCAGGTGGGCGACTTGGGGGCCCTTGCCACGACTGCCTCTCCAGAGCTCACACCCGCACGCCTCTGCTCTTGCACACGCGAGCACACTTGCAGTGAGGGGCGTGGAAGCAAAGGCACTTCAGTACTCTGCGCCTCACCTGGATTTCTGAGATCCTCGCAGAAATCTGAGGAAAAGGTCACCTGCACCTTCGTTATGAAGGATCACATGGAGCATGGGGCCTGTTAGAACAGCATTTCTGTCCGAGTGTCTGTCCAAAGTCCAGAGACAGGAATGCCTCCCTATCTTTCAGAAAAGCGCGGGCTAATCAGATGTGTGGCTTTTTTTTTTTTTTTTCATGGAAAACCTTGGTCAGCACTTGAACTTCAGATCAAGCACATTGTATATCATGAGCCTCAGAGACTTTGGCTAACTGTTCACTACTAGAAGCAAATCCTGGGCCCTTTCTCTAACAATTGACATCACAAAATAAGAACTGAGTCAAGAAACAACTCCCACCTCCTTGGGTCCCCCAGATGCCATGGCATAAGGGCACCTCTGAACTCACCGTTCGTATAGTTCCCGGAGAATGGAGATGTTACTAGAATGGAGTGATGGGTCAATTTCCAAGAAATCCAAAATATGGTGTGGGATGATAGCACCTTCCTCAATTAGCAGGGCCAGGTTAAAAAATCCCTAAAGGTAAGGCACAAACCAGACCCATCAGCTCCTCGTAATAAAACCCAGACACACACCCTTCATCAGCGTGTAAACTTTTAAAACCTCTACATATTTTTTCCCAGCCCCTATAGCCAGATGGTTTAGTCATCTTCATTGATGAATTGTTTCCCTAAATATATGCATCTCAGAAATTTATTTGCAGGAGAACCGGGAGACTTTCAAAGGATGCTGCGTCCCATCTGCTCAGCAGCCAGTCAAGCGGGAGGTCTGTCCTTTCCTGTTCACACTCTCAAAACAGAACGCACTGCAAAACCAGAGCACCGCGTCGGAGGCGATGTCCATCACGGACGGTGGCCTCGGTCACCATCAAATCTGACAAAATATTTCTGTGGCTGCACACTACCTGTGACTGACATTCTAAGGTCAAGCGTGTCAGAGTCACAGATGGCACTTGCCTCAGCTCTCCTGGGTCAGCGTGGAAAACCTCATGATTTCTGTTGGCACAGACCTCCGCATGTACATTTCCTGGCCTCTTCCTTGGTACCTTACTCTTGACCCTCAGGGTGGGCCCGCCTTAATGGACTGTGCAGATCCTGGTTCAGGATTCCGACAGTGGAAATGTGTCACACAAGATGGGTGCGAGATGCCAGCTGGAGGTCACTGGCCATCATGAGCTGAGCATGCGGCCAGACCACAAAGCCAGCAAAACATGAATGGGGCCCACCACGAGGAGCCTTTCAAATGGAGCTGGACTGTGGCCCTTCGAGGAATCCATGGTCATGTTTGAATTTGCTCCCATCCTCCCTCTGTCTTGCCCTTCAGCTGCCAAGACCACAATCTAAATGAAAATCACGAACTGCCAAGTCGTACAACCAGGACTCCGGAGAGCATCCTGCATGGCCACCATGAAAACATAAAATAGTCACATTTTCTGAGTGCTTGCTGTATGCGAGGCCTCACTCCCTTTTGTGTATGTTCACTTAATCCTCACAACAAGGAGTGGAGATGGACACTACTATCCTCTGTTTTACAGATTGAGAAGCTGAGGCACAGAGAGGTTAAAGAACTTGCCCTTGATCACACAGCTGGAAAGTGGCAGAGCTGAGATTCAAATATAAGCAGATGGTGGGGTCCAGGTTCTCTGACCTCCACCATGTTGTCAAATAACCTCTAAATGGATTTAAATGTTAAGTTCTTCAAGACGTAGACACACACACACACACACACACACAGCAGCAGCAGCAGCAGCAGCAGAGCACAGGATATTCTCTTCTCTTTGAAAAGAAGATACTCTTAAAACTTGAGGTATTAGCAGAAAAATGACTTTGTAACATTTTAAAGGTTCTTCTAATCAGTGGAAACATATTATGAGAATAAGTGGTAAAATAGTCTGGGGAATATTTATATGCAATGTAATAGCTTTAAGGTTCATTATCTACTAAGCAAATAAATAAAGAACTAATTATGGCTTGAAGAAGAAAAAAGAATGAAGACTCCAGTAGATAAAGACTAAGAATAGAGAATTCACCTAAGATGTGAAGACCAAACAACCATCAGCAAGTACAGGTAAAGGTGTCTGTCCTCTCTAGTCATTAAATAAATGCCATCCAAAACAACAAGGAAGCATTAATTTGCAGTTGTCCCATTTGCAAAACTCAATCGTCCAGGGCCGACAGGATTTCAGGCAAGGCATCCATCAGAAAACGGCTTCAGAAAGCAGCTCGGCGGGTGCCATCGCGGAGCCGTAGAGGCATTGGGACCGTGTGCCTTGGTAATGCCGTCTCAGAATATAACTAAATTATTTCAAGTGAAAAGTCACGAAAGTGCTCAGGGCAGCATTAGCGTGGCCGCTGCCCCCTGGCAAGCAGCCTCCACGTCTCCCTGGGTCGACTCTTGAGCCCCACGAAGGCAGGAGGTTGATTTTCACCTCGTGCCCTGCCACTAAGCATTGCCTCAGACGTGGCGGGACGGGACACAGATGGGCTGAATCAGTGGACAAGCTAGAGACGGCAGGCAGCAGCGCCCGGCAGCAGGGAAAGCCCTGCAGCTCAGCAGAATGTGGGGCCCCTGAGAGCAGCGAGCAGAGAGACGAAGAAAACCACAGGGCGGTCCGAGTGGTGCGCACACTAGAGGTCACCTTGCAGGTGCATGTGCCAGTGAGCAGGGACCAGAAGTGACACAAGGACATGAAGAAGGAAAAGCCTCTGCCACGTAATGAAGGATCTTTTGATTTTTTTTCTTTATACGTTATCCCTTATTGTTTTTGTATCATTGTCTTCCTAAAAAAATGATCATCAAAAATGAAAAACAAATTATCCAGGCTTCATTTAAAATGATGGCCGACATCATCTAAGGGAGTTTGTTTCTGTACAAATCCCTGTAGCAGAAACTTCTACTTCATTCCAGAAGAAATAGCAGATCACGCTCCAGTTAGCATCCTGGGTGTTGGGGCTCAGCACCTCACTTATTCCTCACCTCCAAGGAGGGGATGCTGTTATCTTCCCAGTCCACAGACGAGAAATGGAGTCTCAGAGATTTAGTGACTCCCCATACACAAGCAGCTGTGAGTGGAGAGATGTAGGATCTTAACCTGGGGACCAACCCCTCCGATGTAATATCCCCACTAAGAAAAAAGAAGGGAGGGGGAAGCCAAGGTGAGGATGAGTCTCTTACTTCCGCTCTGTGATCTGACTCCAGAGCATAGTCGGAAACTATTCCAGTTTCCACTGCAAAAAAACCTGCCCTGGGATCCTCAGGGAGATCCCAATTAGCAAACGGAGAGAGAACGAGGCAAGTCCTAATAGTGGTTGCCGGCACCATCTGTTAAAATTCATAGGCAAAAATTTTGAGGACAAGCAGGATATCTGCATAGTCTCAAACTATCTCCCCAAGATATTTATAAATTAAAAATGAAACAACGTTAACTTTACAGTGGAGAAACCTAACAGAAACCAGAGACGCTTAACCTCACCAGGGACGAGAGTCACTGACACCACACAGCCCTGACGTGACACGCCAAGGACAAGTGACATCTCTACCGTTCCTGCCCCAAACACTCAACCTCAGCGGGTTCATGAAAAAACAGAAATGTCCAACCACTTGATGAGAATGAAAGATGAGAAAGCAACTAGGTGTAATGTGGGACCTTGCACTGAATCCCAGAACAGAAAATGGGTATCAGTGGACAAACGTGAAATCCAAATAGTCTGAAGGGTGGGTACGGATATTGACAGTGGCATGGTGGCCATGCAGAATGTTAACGTTAAAAGAAGCTGGGCGGAGGTGTATGGGGATGCTCTGAATCTCTTTTGTAACTTTTCTATAAGCCTAAAGTGATTTTAAAATAAGAAGTTTCAAAAAAAAGTCATTGAGAAAAAGTCCTGTCACTTAAATATTGAGCTCAATCGCACATGGAAAGCACATCCTGTAACAGCCACTCTTTTAGATCCTTGAGTTTCTGTCTGTGAGTTATTTTGACAGAATTCAGTAGAAAACACCTCAGGATTGGAGCTAGAGACCCAGGTTTAGGCTCTGGCTGTTCTATTTTCTACCTGATTATCTGGCCTGGAACAATTCATTACCTTGCTGTGGCTCTAACTATGACATAGGTATAAAATCTCCAGCTCCATAGGATTGCTTGGGGACACAGTAGGCGCTCAATCAAGGTCCCCCAGGTCCTCATGGAGTTGTCTGAAGGACGTGTGAACGTGCATGGACAAAGACCAAATCATGCTGTGGAAGTACACAGAGAAGACTGCTAGGTCTCTGGGCCTTCAGAGCAGGCTTCGCTGTTTTTACCTGGGAGTCTCCCTCCAGCGCGGCCTGGGCGTACATCTGCACAGACAATTCAAGGTCTTGTGACTGGTTTTGGTGGCCATAGTAGTACAGGTCTCCCATTTTCAAATATGCTGCAGAACGCAAAACATATCCACTTGTCAAGCAGTTTTATTTTAGGCTAACGTTGTCAATTACTGGGCCATTCACTCAACAGAGTGTATCCTATTAAAATTTGAATGCAGAATATTTTTAGGTTTCCTTACTGTGTCAGGAGAAAACAAAAAAGGTTTTCTTTTCTTTCTTTCTTTTTTTTTTTTTTCCTGGAGCACCCTATCTAGACACTTTCCATACTCTAGGTAGCTCCCTTGAGCAGGTCTGTTTGAGACTTTCTGACAGCGAACTCAGCCCAGCGGCCAAGGTTGTCCCTGGCCCTCTATTCCACATCTGAAATGCTGCTGCTGTGTTTGATGTGTCTCATATCTCTTTGCTTTGCGTTAGCCGCATGTTTCATGTTTACTTTGAGGAAACACATTTGAGAGCATAGGTGTCAGTCAATATCCAATCAGAAAATCCAGAATCCACCTTGGGTAGCCCAAAGAGGGATTTTTATCATGGGAAAGTAGATGCCTGGGTACCGGAAGAGACAGAAGGCAAGTGGGAGATGGAAGGAAGCTACTGTCACCCCCCAGGATGGGGAAGTGGGGGTGGCTGTGAGGTTCCCAGAGCTTCCCAGTCCCCTGGGAGCTGGACCAGAGAGGGCGGAGTTACTAGGCAGGGGCTGGAACCATGGGACATGTGGCCACTGCCAGACAACTGGTGCAAAACAGAGAGATGGGAAGAGAGAGCTGGGCTTCCCCCCTCTTCCCACTCTGCAGCCTTCCCTGGTGCCCACCACTGGCGATGCCCATCAGAAGCTCCTGGGACAGGAGCCTGGCACTGCATTCCTGGTGGCCACCCCCTCCCACAGACAGCAGAGCAGAGCACAGGGCTGGGAACACATCTGAGGGCAAAAAGCAAATGACAGGCCAGGGCGTCCCTTTATAGTAGGATGGCTTTTGCGTTCTCTTGGTTTGGAGGTGGGTCTGGTGAGTGGGACAAGGTGCTTGAGTGCCCTGCAGGGGCTAAGAGCAGGTTAGCCAGGGCCTTAATAGCAGAGATTTTTCACTTTCATTCCTAATTGTTTAGAAATATCACACTTCACACCAAGCTGTTAGATGTTCCCTGTTACTAAAGATTAAAAGCCTCTAACGCTTAGGTTAGCACCGTTTTTTTCTATACATACCAAATGAAGGAGCATCGATTTGAAAAACAGAGAAATTATAGTATCTCCAAACACAATTAACACCCAAGTATCTCCTGGCCAGGTCCTAAGAGGTAAAGGAGAGAGAAAAAGTTAATTCATTAATATTTTGGCCAAGTGACTAATTTTGCCTTGGTAAAGCTTAATTCATTATCTTTAACCTTACAGCTTCTGCTTGCAGAAGAATCCATTTACTTACCGGCCTTTCCTCACAGATGTGTGCTAAATTTGTCTGTGACACTTCAATTCCAGTTTCTGCTGCTAAAACATAATACAGCAAAGCTTCATGCCTAAAAATAGATGATTAATAATAAATTTCATATAGTGGCTCTTACTAATATTCAGAGAGCTTTATATTCAAACATAAGAGGGCACAAAATAAGCAGTTTTTTAAAACCACAAAATCATGAGTTTTTTTTCTTTTTAAATAAATACTGTTGTTAAAAATACTGCATGCACTGATTTATTTCCTATCTTAAAGGCTGAGCTCCCAGATAAGGCTGGGGACCTAGTTGGTACAACAGCTACCTCTACTGGCCGAGAGGCGTGCGGAACGCTGGCTGGGGACTTGTCCATTAGTCTTTGGTCCTTGAATCTTTCCTTCCTCGCTTAGAGGAGATGAGTGGTATTAAGAAAAAACCCTGGGCTTTACAGTCCCCTGTTTTGTGAAAGGCTTTACAGGACTTAGGATTCGGAACAAGCTTAATTAAAGCTGAGCTTGTGTTGTGCATTAGAAGTTTGGCAAAGAAGAAGCAGTTTACAAGGGATTGATGACAGTGGCCAAAACACATGAAAAATAAATGCCCGACAGCCGTAGCGACTGAGCAAGTGTAAAACAACGAGAGACCACTTTTCATCGGTTGAAAGTCGGGCACAGGATTCACTGATGGCACAATGACAAGGACCCGGGGAAATGCACGCACTCCCGTGCCCACGCTGGAGGGCCAGTGGTTGCAGTGAGTCTGGGGTCAAGGAAGGAAATCTGAGAATTCACACACCATTTGTGCCTACTGCTCTCCCTTGGGGGTTTATTCCAAAGAAACCAGATATGTGCAAGGATCCCGTTGCCAAGGGGTTTGTGATAGGGCTGATGGCAAAAGCTGCTACATCAAAGCAAACTCGAAACAAATACCTGAAAGTCACAACCTCGTGCAGCCACATTCAGATGTGGCCAATAAAGACAATGTCATGGAAGAGTATTGAAAATACTTGTGCAAAACCTTGTAATTAGCATCCCAAAAAGGCAGAATATAAAATTGCATCCCACTTTTGCAAAACACAAATGGAATTAAATATGCACATGTGCATACACCTGTAAATACATATATGTAGAAGAATAAATTCTAAAAACCATCTAACAAATGTTAACAATACTTATCTCTTCATGGTTAGAATGCAGTAATTTCTATTTCTTCCTTTTATCTATCTGATTTCCTCAATTTTCTATGTTACCCAGTTTGTGCATAAAATTTGATTTTCACAATAAGTAGTTATTTCTAAAGCTTGTTTTTCATTTTAAGTAGTTGACACAAATGATGCTTTCTTAATTTGAGCCCCACCCAGAATCTGGTTTAGGGAAGGATGGGCGAGAGAAAATGAGGTAACAGATTCTGAAATCACCTTTCTACAGTGCTCAAAGCACCTACTGGGAGACCATTTCATGGAGACATACAGAGGTGGCTGGGAATCAAATTAGGACAGGCAGACCTTCCGTGAGACAGGCTGCAGGTCATGGGACACATGGCTTCTGAATGAGTCAGTTCCCAGTCTCTGAGATACCTAAGGTGGCTGACCAATTAGCTGTGACTCGTGCTAACAGAGACAAGGTCACCTAAGCAGTGTCCCCTGCTCAGGCAGTCAGATCACAAGGCCACACTGCAGGTGCAAACACCACTGAAAAGATGCCTAGGGACTTTGTTACACAGGCTGCAAAAATCATTTTGGGGCATCAGAATCCTCAGAGCTCACCTGACACCAAAGAGGTACCACCTGGAGGTCCTGCAGAAGGTCCCTATCCTTTTATAACAGAACCCTGTTCCCAAGATCTCAAAACCTCAAGTTTCTTCACATACACATGAATGCCCACTAGTGTCTCAGTCTCTACCAGGGATGCTTGAGGAAAGGAGATGGGGCAGACCTGTCCCCCAAAGTCCAGTACTGGGCCAATGCCCTGAGCTGCCATGACTAGCTAGTATGTGGCTCAGATTACTGAAGCGTCACACAATGAGTTCTTGGACAGCAGAAAAACAGCCAAACTGGCTGCTAGAACTGAGGGGTGGGGTGGGAGCTGGTGGTTGACACTGTCAGAAGGCTCACTTGAGAAGCTTCGTAAGACAATCTCTTGCCTCTCAAGTAACCTTGGCAGTAGAGGAGGGAGAGGTTTCGTAGGAAGACTTCTATTGTTCAATTATTACATAGACTGGGAGGAAATACTGTAGAATTCTCAAGCTTTTCCATCAAAGGAGAAACTAAAATCCATCCAAATGTGATGTCTAAAAACATTGCTGTCAACTCCTCCTGGCTGCATCAATCACCCAGACCTGTGCATGCTGATGTCACCACCACCCACTTTTATATAGTGAAAGAGTAGGCTCTAAAAGGGGGATTGACGCTTCCCAGGCCAGACTCCCCAGCTTGTTAAAACTTTGAGACATGACACTGATGCGGAGGCCCGACCCACATGCAGCCTCCCGACACTACTTAACTGTGTTTCAACAGAAACCACCTGAAAGTATTAATTACAGATATTTCTACACTTATATTCTGGAACAAACATTTACTCAGCACTTGATAACTGCAGGAAGCCCAAAGACAGACCTCAAAACACTCCTGTCCTTCCATTAATTTCTTCAAGCTTTAGGAAGAAGACCCAAGCTTCAAGTTTTATTTCCAATGCACTCAAGTGAATTGTCTTCCAGACAGACAATTTTGTGGAAGATGGGGACTAAATGCAAGAAAGGAGGGGATTTATAGGAATGAATTGAGAGGCACATTTGCTTCCCTCTCATTTTCAGACCTTGGACAGACATTCCTAGCACTTTTATAATGATAGGTCTTAATAATCAATTCTTCGACCCCTTGCTGTGAATTGTGAATTTGAATGCCTCTGAGCAGTTGCTGGAACAATTATGTTATTTCCTCTGTGCTCTTTTCTTCTAATGCCTCAGGCAGTTCAGATGGGAAAGAGAAAAAAAGAAAAGTCCTGGGGTCTCGGTGGAATTCACTGCAAAAAGGTGAATCTCTTTCAACCGGAACTTTGCATGTCTACTTCTCTCGCCTCAAGTCCACTAGAAGCTGCTAACCTCTGGGGTTAAGTATTTTGGGTACATTTAAGACAAAGCACAATAAAACAGTAGCTCGCAGATAAAACACACATAAGGCGGAGAGAAATGAAACAGGACAGCCGGCCTTTCCCTGCTAACGGCGGCGGCTGGTGTCCGAGGACAGCCTCAGGCATGACAACATCATCTTCTGTCTTACGCTGATCCAGCAAAAAGCCCCTTTTTCCATCACGCTCCTCTTTACGCTCCCCCACATAAATCTTGGAACAACACAGGAAGGCAGAAGCTCATCAAACTGACACATGTAATTTGAAAATAACGTCCAGAATAAATTCACTCACACAAAAATGAAGAAGGGGGATGGGCCGGAGACATTGATGGATGATTTTGTTCTATTAAGGGAAAATAGATGGTACCCCAAAAGCCACACTGTGGTGTGAGAAGGCCAGCAAACGCCTATTTCCTATTTAACCCCTGGGCAGGGGCTGGAGACTGGAGGTGCAGGAAGCAATCAGGATGCGCTTTGCCCCAAACATATTTTGACAAAGATCTTCTCATTGTAATGGATACTAGATGTTTTTTCTTGTTGATACTAAGAAGTCTTGAAGTCTTGAAGCCAGGCTGAGATTTACCTTTAACCATTCTTAGCATCAGCACCAGGATTGGCAAGGATATGGAGAAACAGAAATCTATAGATGGTGAGCAGGACAGTGACTTGGTAAAACCACTTTGGAAAACAGTTGTCTCATAATGCTGTCCAGGTGCCATTCATTGCCACTCAGAGGCCCCACTCCTGAGTTGATAGGTAAGAGCAACTCTTCCCTGCATGTCAGAGAAGAAATTAAGAAATGTTTGTGGCTGTGTGGCACAACAAGCACACAAGAAGGGGGTAGGGAGGGAAGAACAGAAGTTCACTGGATTAGAAAAGTCCTGGGGTCTCAGTGGAATTCACTGCAAAATGGTGAATGAAGGGAAGGGAGTGGGGATGGAAATGGGAGAGACAGTAGAATAAACCGGACACAATTTTTCTATGTTCATGGATGACTACATGTCAGAGGCAACTCCACATCATGTTCAACCATAAGAATGGGGAGTTACACTCCATGAATGTGTGATATGTCGAACAAACTCTACTGTCACGTATAACTAAAAAGAAAAAAAAAATTAAAAAGTGAGAAAAAAAAAAACAGTAACAGCAGCAAAAGGGAAATAACACAAATATGCATTAACATAAAATTAATAAATAGCAGCATATTATAGCAGTGAATATGAATGACCCACAGGTACAGGCATCAAAATGTATGAATCTTAGAAGTGTAATGTTAAGTCTAAAAAAAGTTGAAGATTATATATGATATGATTTTAATAATATAAAGGTCAGAAATAAGCCAAACTAAATCCATTGCACAGGAATATATCCATATATAGCAAAACTATACAGAAACCAAGAGGTGGATGAGTAAGACTCAGGCAATGGTGACTTCTGGGGGTTAATCTGGGAGGGGCACGCAAGGGCCTCAACAGTGCTGGCAATGTTCGATGTTCGCCCCGCTAGGTAGGGTGAAAAGTTAACAGGGGTCCCTTTTATTGTTGTGCTCTTGTGTGTCACATTATTACATACCACATATTATTTCATATGTGTCAACTATTACCTAAGAAAAAACCCTCAAGTGGCAATGCCACATCTTTGGCTCCAATGTTCAGCGCCTTTTACCTGGGTCTGAGCCAGCCCCTTTCAGGGTCTCCCTTCCTGTCGCCATCACACTCAGCTGTTTGGTTTAAACATCTTCGAGATGGGCTTTGTCAGTGACTACCCTCCACAACACTACCAATGGCTCCCTGCTGCTTCCTAGACCAAGTAAAAAGTGTATCACCTGCCATTCAAAATCCCACCCAGTAGCATTTCTTTGGTTTTGCCCTGTAGGTTCTCAGTCTCACCGCAGTGGCAAACTGGATGGCTTGAATTTTTCTACACTTCCTCAGGCTGTTCCTACCTCTTTGCTTTTGCTTCTGCAATGCGCTTGCCATTAGTGCTGTTCCCTGTGTGGCTAAGAGGAAACTCTATTCATCCCTCAAGGCCCTGTTATCCCTACTGCATTGTCAAGCTGACCTAGGGCTCCCCAGTGAGAGAGCAGCCTTCCTCCTTCCATCCCCAGGGCCCCCACCTCCTGCTCCTGGCCCCTGAGTTGGCTTGTTCTGTCTATTTGCTTCCATTCCTCCACTCGTTCAGTAGTTTCTGAGCACTCCCCGGCGTTGCCATGTGCGAGGCCCTGGGACACAAGTCACGGACAACGGACAATAAAATGACTGTGATCCCAGGACTGGGCAGGATTCCTAGGCAGAGGAAGTAGCAGGTGCAAAGGGTCCGAGGCTAGACCTAATGCGGGCCATGTGACAAAAGGTGCATGGAGGAGAAGGACAGCAAGCGTCCCCAACCCCGACTGGTGACATCCCCTGCATGTGAGTGTGCACAGCAGAACCTACTGAACTGAATCAAAAACACACACAGTGCAAAACACACGTAGTAAGTTTTCCTTCCCCGATACCAAGGGACGGGGTGGGACGCCCACATTGAAGCTGAGAAGTCTAAGGCAGAAGTCAAGCCACAGGCATTTTCATTCAACTAACCCTTCATGGCAAAATTTCAGCTGTCTAGTGAAGGGCTTTCTGTTAAATGCCAAAGTAGGCAAGAAAGCCAAGCTACTCACCAGGTTTTTTTACTCATTCTTTTTCTGGGGGGAAAAAAAGTGTCAGATACCTTTGTGTGGCAAGGGGGCATGTAGGTGTGAATGTGTGTGTGTGTGTGTGTGTACAGACCTCCTCTCCTTTTTGGAAAACCCCACATAAAAACCGAGGGGTATCTTGAAGCATTTGGTTCCCCCTCGGAAGCTTATGGGGAGCGGAGAGCATGAGCCTCCTGCGGAGGCTGGAGAGAATGAGTTACAGTCAAGTATCTGGAGTTTTATGAACTGAAATTCCCCCGGGAAGCAAGACACCACAGAAACTCCAGGAAAACAGGAAGGTACAGTTACAGTCGGGAAGAGGTAATTTCCTTCAAAGAAATTCCTTTCTGTTTGTGCAAAGTGAGGCCACAGATAATAAACTTTCACAGGATGATAACAACAAACATTTGTATTTGGTGATTTTTTTCCCCTCTGGGCTCATTTCCCTGCACTCTCTAATTTAAGACGCTTGCTTACGGAGATGCCATCTGATGGGTGCGTGACCAGCTATGGACCCAAGGAGGAAATGGCACCTTTGGGGGAATATTTTAATTTTTAATTACAGCTTGGATCCGCGTGTAATCAATGGTAGGTCTCACCTAATGTCTTGGAGGCAGTGGACCGAGGGGTATCTGCTGATTTGCATGTCCTTTTTAGTTATTACAGAAATACCCGGATCATTTAGGCAATAAAACAGCCTAGCAAATGTGGCCCAAAGGAAAATGAGGACAGTGTGAGAACCGACAGTGTGGAAACGGGTAAGTCTGTAAGTCCTTGTCCTCAGTGTCTCATCACTCACAGGGCAGGTGAGACATGCCAGCTCCTTGAGAAGCCTAGGAGGGGACATCTGTTTGGTTGACACTGGATACCGGTGAGCGGCTTTGGCATCCCCAGCTCCTGGTCATGGCTGAAGATAGTCAACTATCTATGAAAGGAGGTGGCCTGAGCCGGTTTTTTTTGTTTGGGTACTGGGCATTGAATCCAGGATCACTCTACCACTGGATGACACCCCAGCCCTTTTGATTTTTTATTTTGAGATAGAGCCTTGCCTGGTTGCTCAGTCTGGCTTTAAACTTGCTATTCTCCTACCTCAGCCTCTCAGTTGCTGGGACTATAGGTGTGTCCCATGAATCAGGTAGAAATCCTGAACTTTCTGTGGCCTGACAGAGAGAAGAAGATCTCACCTAAGGTCCCTCATGTGTTGTCCCTAGACGCTAAAGCCAAGAGGAACAAACTCGAAGGAAAGAGAAGTCAATGCATTTGTGTGTCTTTCAACTTGATGAACGTGGCCACCCCTCCAGAGAACTAATTTTTGTGTATAATTGAACATGGAAATGCTATGTTTTCCAATCAACAGCCAATCAGTCCGTGATACTCAGAATACCATTACTGGAAGCTGTGATTTCCCTGCAAATTGCTCTTTCAGTTACATTTTAAGATTCCATCTCCTAAGACTCTAATGACAGACTGAAAGTTCAGGGCTGAGGAAGTTCACTTTCAGGTGGGTCCGAGCTTACCATGAGCCCTCCAGGTAGGCGTTGAGGCCTTTGCGAATGACATGGCCCAGGTAGCCATTTTTCTCAGCTACGTGCTTCGCCCATCTGAAAAGGAACGGGAAGAAAAAAATATGCAAACTGTGGCAAATTAAATAATCACTTTTTTCTTCATATGATCTCAATAAATCCCACTTGGGGAATATTTTGCTTGTTAGAATTTTTATAAAGCAACAAACCAGAACTGAATGTTAAGAAGGTGAAGAAAATGTGTTTTGAGAGCTTTTCACTCAGTGCCCCTTGTTATGAACGCTCAGTAGCTTGTCTTTTATGGAAAGAAAGACATGCAATATACATAATGAAAAATGCCTACCGAGATGAAAAAATAATCTCCACCAAGACTTCTAGTAGTCTTTCCATGAATATATGTTTTTCTTACTCTGTTCCTGTCCCCTAATGTATCCTAGAGGGGTATATTAATAATGAACCAATCTGGACTAAAATCACTAAAAGAATAGCAGAAGAATGCAGAACTAACAAGCTCATAGGAGGGGGAAGAGAATAATATTTAAACAGACTTGATTAATACATAGGAAAGAGAAAAAAAAGACACAAAGAAAGAAAACTAGGTGGGACAAATAGGAAGTAATAACAAAATGGTAGATTTTAAAAACGAATATATCCAGAACTACATTACATGTAAATGAACTAAATACACCAATTAAAAGCTAAAATTGTGAAATAATGTTCAAAACCCCAATTATGTGCTACTTACAAAAGATATACTTTTAAAGTAAAGGACAAAATAGAAAGCAATAGTGGGAAAAAGGTACATAACACTCTTAACAATAAAACCTGGTGTAACTTCATGAAAAACAGAAAAGAAAGAGAAGGAGAGAGAGAGATGAAGGAAGAACCATCAACCGAGACAAAGAAATTATAAATGAGGAAGCGGTCAACCAGAAAGGCAAAACAATCAGCATCTGTGTGGCCCAGGAAAGTAAAGTGTCTCCATGTGAGGCCAAACCAACAGAACTAGACACAGACACAGCTATCCACACCTGGGGAATTTTAATGCAACCCTTTTCAATAACTGATATGGCAAAACATAAAACGTCAGAAAGGACATGGAAGAGCTGAACAATAGAATTAATGAACTTGCGGTACTGATACATAGGTAGACATTGCACCAACTCATTTAGAAATCACAGCTCTTTTTTTCAAGAGACGGGAAAGCATCTACCAAAATTGACCATATCCTGGTCAGCAAGCAAGCCTCAGCAAATGTCAAAGGATTGAAGACATCCAGCTATGTTCTCAGACCACAACGGGAATTAAACTGAAAATCAATAACAAAAGGATAATGAGAAAGTTCATGAAACATGAGTGTTCCACACCAGATAGCCTTCATGACAATGATAAAGAGCTCCGAGACCATTCAAGGTAAGTTCTATGCTGCGCTGAGGTCAGGATGGGTTTGACTCTATGCTGTGCAAACAGCCTTCTGGAGAGCCAGGCTGTGGGTGTCAAGTGGCCTGAGGAGAGGTGAACAATTTTTTTTTCTATAAAAGGCAAGATCACAGGTAATCACTGCTGCATATTCATTTTTCTTTGCTTTACAACTCTCTTCAACTGTAAAAAACATTCTTTGCTCTAGGAGCCAAACAATGGGTACAGAGCCACACTGCAGCTGCTGGCCCTCGTTTGCCAATCTCTAGACAATATTTTAGATATGCAAGACCTCAAAAATGCCTCCTGCTCACCATCGTGCAGGAAGCTACCATAGGATGTATCCTTCCAAAATGTAGGTGCAGAGCAAGAAGAAAGGGGCTCAGCAGAGGGAACATAAACCCCCCCAACAGAGATGGAAGGGAAGGAAACCCCCACAACAGTGATGAAGGTGCTCTGGGGTGATGGCCGTGTCCTGAACAAAGACTCCAGGAGAGACGTGGGCAAGAAGAGTAACTGAATAGAATACAGGGCGACATAGAGAGAGGAGACTGACATCTGGAAGAGATCGAGGTGGAGATCAAATACCTACAAAGTGATGAGAATATACAGCTAAGCAAATAAACAGCAATAAGAAACAATTACTGTTGTATAGAACAGAAAAGTTTTGCAAGAAAAAAAAAAGCAACTGTAATATTCTGCATGGTTCAGCCACTGACGGCATTTACATGGATGTAATGATGTGAACTCTGATGCTGAGCTGACCACCAACATATGCTCATTGGGAAGATGAGAGCTGGCAGGACGTGTGAGCGTGTGGGACAGTGGGAGGTGGAAGAGGCACAGAGGGCTGCAGCCTTGTCTCTCCCCGGGGCATCACTAGACAAAGCCCCTGTACCAAGGCACAGTGGAATCTGCCTGCTGTTTAGAGAGAAGCAAGTAGAGAAGGAATGAAAGATTGAAAGTGATTTACTCCAGGGAGCAGGAAACAGAGGTTGGGGTGGGGTGGGGTGGGGTGGGGTGTGGGTAGCGAGCAGGATTCCCTGCCTTTCCTTGTCAAATTTTTTTCTTATTTCTAATTTAGAAATTTTTAAATTTTGGTCTTATTGATTAATTTGGCGCTTTAACCTACATGCATGTATAATTAATAAAAATAAATTTAAAAATGCAAAAAAGGGAGGGAGGGAGAGGGGAAGGGAAAAGAAAAGAAAAGAAAGAAAGAAAAAGAAGAGAAAAGGAAGTCCATCTTCTCAGGGTTGGTGAGTGGAGGACATGGATTTTCCGTCACGGGTGACACTTGACAGACTCTTACACAACCGCTTTCTCCGGGTCCCTCGGGAAGGTGTCCAGGTTGCCTGTGATATAGTAGAGAGAACACCACAAGGTCCCTTCGATGTGTCCCCCTTGTGCAGCCTTATGGAAATATTCACCAGCTAAAGTCTGCAGAGAGAGACAAACAGACGTCACTGCCATTAGCGAAAGGTCCCCTGGCAGCGCTGGTCTCACCAAAGCCAAGGTGGTGCAGTGCTTGAAGTCCGATATTATCACTGGCTTGAAACTTCTGATACTTGAGAAAACCAGGTCAAGCAATAGTTCCAGGAAGACAGCTCATCACCGAAGCCAGCCTCCGGGATGTATGACCTCGCCAAAAGCTATTCTGTTGATTAAGTTTAGCCAGGAGGGACAACGACAGGTGAAGGAGGGTACCATTGCCTTCTCATTTGATCCTCACATAACCCCTGCGTGCTCCACCAAGACTGTATCAGGAGTCACACCAGGTGAAAATTCAAACATTTGCTTTCCTAACCTTGCTCAATACCTTTCTTCAAACTCCTGTTCGAAAACTGCACTTCCAGTAGGAAGGTGAGAATTAGAAAATGACAATAAAAAATCGTCACTCACAGATGTGTGGGAGGCTCACCAGACATTTGCAATGCATAAAAATATCAGCCTCGTGGGCAATCAGACGGAGGCGGAGGGAAAAAAGAAAACAAACACTTAGATGGGGGTTCGAGCTTCCCCTGATTAACATGATTTTTTGGAGGCAGTTTGCTATTATTTTTAAAAGCATGGGCTCGCGAGGCGGGCCGACTGGGGTTCAAATCCCAGCTCTGCTCTTGATGAGCTCTGTGGCCTTGGGCTTCTCAGTTAATCTCTCCAAACATCATTTTCTGCAATTGTAAAATGTGGCTGCTGATTGTCCCTAGCGGGAAAGTTTGGAGTGAGAATTAAATAGAACACCATAGTCGCAAGGCTTAGCCCCCGATGCTTCACGAAGAATAAGCTTCCAATCCGCTCTCCTGACCCGGCCAGCTCTGGTAGCCCCAGTCTCGCCCATTCCCACCAATGCCACCTCCCTTCTCCCATCTCAATAAATGCCAAACACCTCCCTACCTCTCATGCCCCACACCCCGCCCACCAGCAAACCCTGTCCCCTGGCCCTTCAGAATATCTGTAGACGCCTTCCCTGACGCGACCCTGTGCTGGCCGCTGCCCCCTCTCGCTGGGACTCAACTGCTCCCACCCTGCTCTGTCTTCAGTATCTGCTGGGACCCAGGAGGAGGCTCTTCAGTCGCAGCCTGGCATGTCCCTCCAAGACTGTCAGCAGTTCCAGCAAAAGCTGAGTCAGGTGGCCTGGTCAGCGCACGCTTGGCCTTTCTCCATCTGTCCTGCTTTCTGCTCCTGCTGTCCTGGCTTCCCTGCGGTTCCTCTCGCACACCAAGCCTACTTCTCTCTCGGGGCCTTTGTCCTGTGACCTCCTTCTGGAATGTTCTCCCTGATAGCCCCAGGTCTCCTTTGGGAGGCTGTCACTTCACCAGAGAGGCCTTCCCTGGTCTCCCTTAAAACACAGTTTCCCTCAGGGTCCTCCCTCTGGCTCTCCTTCTCTGTTTTATTCTTTCCCATAATACTTTCTCCACTTGCCCTTTGGTCAGGTATTTTATTTTCTTTCCCTCCTACTGAAAGCGAAACTTCATGTGAGCAGGGACTGTTTTGCCTGCTCTGTGTCCTTACTACCCAGAAACGTGCCTGGTGTAGGTGGGTGGCCAATAAACGCAGTGGGATATGATGGAGCTGGGGGGATTGTCACCATACGGATATGATTTTAACACAGGGGCTCCGTTTCCCACAGAGTCCAGGCCCCGGCTCGACTACACACACGACTCCAAGTTACTCAACCCTCAGTTGCCTCCTCCATAAAATGGACACGATCAGAGAAGACATTTCAGGGGCCTGGACGGTGCCACGAGGGGCACAGAGGAAGGGCTGAGAGGCACCGAGGGCGCCAGGGCTTTCGTTATCATGAGGTCTGGCCTCACACGGGCACCCCATCTGGACTTGGGCTTCTAGTAGGATCAGTCCCAGCTTTCACCCTCAGCCTGGGTCACTTCCTCCTCTCGCCCTGCTCCAGCCGCCTTCCTCCGTGGACCCTGCGCTGGCCTTCCCTGTGTTTCCTCTCCACGTGCCACATGTGGCACCTGGCTAAACGCCTGCCTTTGCTCTTCACTCTCTTCCTAAGGGCACTCTGAGCTCCTGGAGAACAGGGCCTGCCTTCCCCTCCCGGTGCCTAGTCCAAGTTTGGCCCAGAGGACGCCTTCCATCCACACATCAGGGCAGGGGGACTGTCCAGCTGTGGTGCTGGTCTCCAGTCTGCTCACCAGATTCCTCCCAGGAACTCCTGGGAAAATGCCATCCAAATACAGGACTCCAAGATTATACGACGCGTCTGGGTTCCCCATTTCTTCTGCTTTTAACCAGTACTTTGCTGCTTTGGCGTAATTTTTCTTGAATTTGTGGTAATACCATCCCAGGCCATTGACGGCCTGATGCAATCCCTAAATTTTTAGAACAGGAAAGAAATTACTTTTTTTTAAAAAAATGAAATCTAAAGAGATGCAGAAGCAACTGCTGTGAAACATTCTGCCCAACTTTGAGCAAAACCTTCTCTTTCTCTTTTTTGGGGGCAGATGGCATTAAAGAAAAGCTAAGCGCAAGAAAACATGAGTCCGCCTGAGAGACTTCCCAGGTGGGTTCTGCCGGGCTGCTGCCGGGATTTTAGCCTTCCAGCTCAGCAGTGAGGCTGGCCCCCAAATCACCGCTCAGCGCCTGGGACCCTGAGGCCACGCCCTTGTCTACACTAGCCTCCACTGCCCGGCAGGGTCAGCAGTGCCCTTGAAATTCCTGAGCACCCGACTGTGGCGGGAGACCTGGAACCTGCAGCTGGGAAGGTTTCTAGGTGATCCGCCTGCCCATTCCTCGGCCCTGACACCAACAGCCCCTTGGAGGGACGCAGCTGCCACAGCCCACGTGCAGAGCACTGGTGTTTTGTGACTGCTGGGCTTCCCCATTTCTGGTTGGGCTGAAGCAGAAGGGGTGGGTAGAGAAGGAGGAGGGCTTCAGACCCTGCTGAACTCAGGAGCTGGCGCTGGGGAGGGGCCACTCTAGCCTGGAGCCCTCGTACCTACTGAATGCATCCCATCAAGCACGGGCTGTGCTACACTGCCATGGAAGCCCAGGGGCCCTGGTAGGGCCTCCAGCCCACCCAGGAGACCCCTGTGTGCACACCTGGCCAGAGAGTGCACACCTGGCCAGAGAGTGCTCTCGTTCCTCTTTCCCACCTGACCCACGAAACCATGAAAACCAACAGCAAAAAACGATGTGAGGGTCAGACAGTGGCCTCACAGCAGTGGACTTGTGAAGTCAGAGTCTAAGTTGGAACCACATCTCTTTTGACTCCCCTTTCCCCAGTGAAGACCAGGTGTCTCTAAAGAGCAGGTGATAGGGTTCTTGCCTGCAGCCTGGTCAGTCAGCAGGGGCCTAGAAGGCCATGCCTTCCAGTGTTTATGTTGTAATCTGGGGGTCAGGAAGTTCTGGAGAACAAACTAGCAGAGCCCAATGGAGTGGAAGCTCCCTGAGGGCTGGACTTCAGTTTTTATCCCAGGCACAGAGCAGGCACTCAGTACATACCTGCTGAATGAATGGGAGCGCTTTGAATGCCAATGAGAATCAAAAGGGATTCCAAACTCTATGCCCTTAGGATGGAGAGTGGGGTTTGGACCCATAGGCTACCAAGTACCCACCCTGAGAGTGCAACTTGGGAATTTCAGGGCCATTGACCCAATCATGGAAGCATTCTTCTTGAGCCTGTGATGAGGTAAGCTCCCAGTAAATACTGCAGAATGTGTTTATGAAGTAGTAGACCAGGTCACAAGTGACAAGAATCTGCTTTGGGATATACCTACAGAAGGGACCCATGGAAATGACTTTTGCAGTTCTTAACTCAAGTGGCCTTAGCTGTATTCAGAGATACCTGCCACTGACCAAAAACTTTTCCAAACTGCTCCTCTAGGAATTGGTTTTGGGTTTAGGGGTCCAGAAGAAATTCTGTCTTATTGCTTAGTACTTAGACTTTGCCTAAGTGCATTTACTCGGTTGGATCAACAAGATCTGCCTCTGTGTGACTTCTAATTCCAAAAATCAACTATATGCAACCTTTACCACAGTCCCTGACAAATAGTAGGGCCTTAAGAAATCCTTGCTGAATGAATGAATGAGAATCACAAAGCACTTTGAAGAATATGACTATGCCAGACCTCAAAACTATATTTCCCCAATAAGTTCTGCAAAAAAAAAATCTATTCAAAATAAAGCAGATTAGACTTTAATTCACCACTGGAGACCTGAAGAGATGCAAATTTCACACCTGTGAAACCCATCACTATCCCACTTTAGAATATTCTGGAACCAGTACTCTAAATGACCACCATTACACTCCTGTTCTATTTCTGCCCTATCCTTTCTGTCAGGTCAGGAGCAGGTGTGCACAAAGGCAAGTCCCTCTTCTTGGGCCATGTGCCCTCTGAACAACTCCCATTCTGAGGAGAGTCTCTGCAGTGTCTTATTTTGGGCTCCACTTTCCTGCTCTGGGGAACAGGACATTCTGGCCCCGCCCAGGGAAAAGTAAACAGGGATAGAAAGTCAATAAGGTTGCTTCAGGAGTCTTCATAGATAAGGCCATCATTTGCAGCCTTGGGAACAGAGGCACATCCAAGACTCACAAGGGTATAAAGTGTCCTGTCAATGCCAGGTGCAATGGCTCATGCCTATAATCCCAGTAATTTGGGAGGCTGAGGCAGGAAGGTCATAAGTTTAACTCCAGCTTTAGCAACTTAGCAAGAGACCCTAACTCAAAAGAAGAAACAGAAAAAGGGCTGGGGATGCAGCTCGGTAGTAGAGCAACCCGGGGATCAATTCCCAGCACTGAAAAAAAAATCCAATTAAGATGTAGAATTAGAGCGGTTTCTACAAATCTATTAGTTTGCAAATCTGTATGCAGGCTCATGTGAGTGTATGCGTGTGAGTATGCATGCATTGTGTGTGTGTGTGTGTATGTGTGTGTGTGCGCGCGCGCGCCTCCTCTCAAGAGCTTTCATAACCTCCTTTCTGTAGTGCTACATAGAATCTGTGAAAAATAGGGACAAAAGCAAAATAATTCCTAAACCTGCTAATAACCTTGGTAAACAGTCCCCTTATCAAAGCCCAAGAAGCCAATGGGAATTGGACAGGACGGGGTTAACCTCCTGAAGAATTAGACTTTTGGTTTTCCTAATTCATTGGCGTTTACACCATTCAATTTCAAGGAGCCCCCCGCTGCTTGTTATCAGGGCAGCTCATGATTATAATTTTAGCCTTCAAACAAAATCAGCCTGAATTCTATTGACTGGAAGGTGAATTCAGCTTTTGAATCCGACTGTCCCCATTGTGGCTGGATTCTGTTAAGTGCAGCAACTCAAAAATGATGAACTGCTGCAGCCCGGACCCTGCCCGCCCCACCTCCAGTAGGAAGAGCTGCCTTTTCCCTCAGCCTCTGAATGCAGGGGGGCAGGGTGCACTGCTCCTCCCACAGCTGCCCGAGGTACCTTGAAAGCTGCTTTCTTCATCAGCTCCAAGGCGAGCCGTCTGTTCTTTTTCACTCCTTGACCCTAAACATTGATAAACAGCAATAATCATCAGGAAAATCAACTATGTGCACTGACAAGCATCACATAAAATACTTACAAATAAACCCCCATCCTAATTAAGAACTCCACCTTAAACATTTCTATGCTCAGCACCAATACGTCTCCATCGCCACCAATGTCGCCATCGTCATCATTAGGATTTTGCTCATATTTGTGGAACAGAGGCAGCAAACCTCAACCTTAGCATCGGTACAAAAATCCCCCTTGATCCCCGTGTGAATCATTTTCTCGACACGCCCGGGGTCCTGTCGGGAGAAGCCAGGAATCGGGTTAACTGTGTTTGGTTTCCTGGATGCTTTCCCCCGGGATTATCTAGTATGCCAGCCAGACAAAGCACGTTATCTGGGTTGGACAGTCAAGAGTTGTTGGGCAGTTGCTGGTAGCCTCCTTGGTCCTGGCTCCAGACCCCAGGGTGTGACGCTGTGGCTTCAGAAGCAGCTTGAGAACCTGCTGCGAAGGAGATAGGACCCTGTGAAATTGGTTGCCTCAGAGGCAAACGACAGACACTAACAAGGTTCTTCCAGCAAAATCATGATTTTCCAGAAGAGTTGGTTTATCCTTCTGCAGAGACATGGTCTCTGAGGCTCTTGTTACAAGAAAGGAACTCCGTGGCCCAGGCTGAGGTGTCTGCAAGACCACGTGCAAAGTGGTGGGTCTGAGAGGTCTCTGGGGACACAGGTCTGACAGTGAAGACGCCGGGCACGGGGAGCCAGGTGGCAACGCTGCTGCTCCAAACTCACGGAGAAGTCCAACACCCTCAATCCTCCAGGGGCCACATGGGGTCTATTACTGTTTGGACCTGGAATGATCTCTCAAAGCTCAAGTGTTGAAAGTCTGAGCCCTAATGCAAACGGTTCAGAGGTGGGGGCTTTCAGGCAATGACTGGATCCTGAAGATTCAATTAATAGGATGATGGATTAATCCACAGATAGCAGAAAGGACGACTGGGAGATGGCATCTAGTTGAAGAAGTAGGTCACCCGAGGCGCGCCATCCTTCTTCCCTCCCTCCGTCTCTCTCTCATCTTTCTGCTTCCCACCTGCCCTGTGCTGAGCGGCATTCCCCCACCATGCCCTTCTGCCATGTTTCTGAGATGGTGTCAGCTGACCATGGATTGAGACCTAGGGAACTGTAAGCCAAAATAAAGCTCTCCTCCTCTAAGTTGTTTTAGTCAGGTCACAGCCATGCAAAACTGACGAACACAGGGTCCTTCTGGACTCAGACAAAGTCAACAGGGTCACATGTGAGGTGAACGTGAGAGGCTTTTGCAGGAATGCAGCTATTAGCTCTGTTGAAATGCTTAAGTTCTCGAGCAAATGGAGGCGGCACTAAAAAGTGCTCCTGGGTTGACTAACATGGGCCACCAGAGTCCTGTCATCATGGCAGCCCACCAGAGATGACACTGTCATTCCCACCCAAGAAGCCTCTAAGAGTCACACACTGTGTGAGGCCCAGAGCCAGGGTTTGGACCCGGACAAGTGAACTTCTGAGTCCAAGCTTGTAACGGTTACTCTTATTTTCTCCTGTACATTTCAGCTCTGTGGTGAGAAAGTACAGTGATTCATAATCTCCTGCAGGACACAGGAAACACATAAGGTAGGCTGGACTCTGTATTTTCCAGGACCCCAAATAACATTATGAATGGAACTAAAGGTGAAATTATATGTACCAAGTTTCGACTAGACTTTAACTTACCTACTTAATAAAACTGATGGACTGAAGCAAAGGAGATGATGGAAATATTTTTCAGAAGTGCACCATTACTTCACTTAATTACAGAAGAGGAGGAAAGAGAAGGACACAGAAGGACGTTTGGAATAACTGGATAGGGAATGGGATAACCTTTTTTTGGACTGCTGGAAGAGTATCAGAAAGGCCAGAATCACAGAATGGCACAACCTGGTTGAGCTCAAAGCTTATCTTCTTCAATTTTCTGTTTCGAAGGAATAAAAATGGGGCCCAGAGATGCTGGCTTGTGCAAATCTATAAAGTCACAGCCACAATCACAACCCAGATATTTCAGTTTCTCAGGCAGGATGTTTCCCGTGTACTTGCTATTTAATCAGAAGTGGGATGGCTTCTTGTACAAAGCACTGTGCACAAATATGAGTAGTATTGGAAATTGTTAAATGTGGGAAATGTCAAGTCCTGGCACAGAGTGAGTCTCAGTAATTATCTACTGGAGGCATCGAAGTAGGATTGTTGCTACAGTCAAAGTCAAGGCTTCATCCTCCTGTGGATACAAATGGGATGCACCTGACTGCCTTGGACTCTCCACAGCTACCATCCTGGTGCCATCTTTGCACACAATGACTTAGGTGCCCCCACACTGCCAAATGTGTCAAGGACACAGCTGTCCTTTACATTTGGAAAACCCATTTTCCACTGGGTTCTTTCACATGGAATACACTGGGAAAAGCCTCTTAGCGAGGTGAAAATCTTCCCTGAGTTGCTGATAAAGGGCTTCCTGCCTCCCACCCAGAGATAACTTAGCTAGGATGCAAGAAAACAAAACAATGAAAAAGCTTTCAGGTTTGGGAAATCGGAACCGAGAAAACATGTCACTAGCAGAATCATTTATTTATGTACGTGCCTTTCCTGCTCAATAGCTCCTAGAACAGAAAAAATGTCTGATGCATGCCTTTATCATTTCACAATTTGCACAGTGACCAGTCCCAACCCTGTGGGCAGGTATCTCTCCTCTGTCCTCTGCCCTCCCCTCCAGTGTATGCACCCCCTGGGGCCAGGGATGTGACTCATGCACCCATATGTCCCTCCACCTCGTGCAGAGTCTGGCACTTTGTCAGCCCTGAGTAGATGCCTGCTGAATAAACACATGGATGCATTGGCATATGGCGAAGATTCAAACAATTTCTATGTTGATTTGATGCCTGGAAAGAGAAGGTCCAGGCTCTCAATTTGGAAACCATAACAACCAATAGCATTTCAGGCTTTGATGGGGTTTAGAGGGTAGAAATGTAGCAAAAGTCATGGTTGTTAATCAGTAAGTGTCCACAGCTGTGGTTCTGGAGATGTGCCTCGCCATGTGAATACACGTCCTTGTTCGAAGACACTGACTTTTAGGGGCAGCTGCATTCTTTGGGCATGGAAATAAGGACCAGGGGTTTCCTTACCACAGCCAAAGTGTTCTGTTTTTCCAAGGTAGGTGAATTTATGACTCTCTGTTTGGGGGTGAAGAGCACAGATTGGGAAGCCAGTCTGCCTGGATCCTTATCCCAGTCCAAAATGTTCATCTGGGCAACCTTGGGTAAGTGACAAAATCTTCCCGTGCCTCTGTTTCCACAAACATAAACTATGATCATAATACACTAAGGCTCCCTTATACACTGTCTGTGAAGATTAAAGGCATTAATTCACCTAAGCGCAATCAATGAGTGTGAACGATTATTCTTTTGTATAAGGTACACACATTTCACAGTTCTCCAAGCTCATTGATCATGTTATCACATTCAATCCATGACCGTGACCTCGTCTCATGAGATGAGATGGTTCCAAGGACATCCATGCTTGCCGAGGTGGGACTGCAACATCTCTGTCGGTCTCCTGGATTCTTCCCAGGCCCTTCTCCTTATTCTTCCACGGGTTCAAAACCAAGATCTTTGTTTTCTTTGGTGGGACTGGTGAGATGGGGCCCCAACCCACACTTTGTTGAAGCAGCAGTTCACTGAGAACGCTGGTGGCCAAGTGCAGCACCCGCTGTCTGGCAGCCCTGCACCAACCCATAAAACGGGGGGTCTCCCTGGGAAGGCCACAGCTTTTGAAAAGTACAGAGAATCCAGGTGACACATGTAAGATTAACAGTAAAAAATGCAGCCAGCGAAATGCTGTGCCCCTGCCTCTTTCGCCAGTATCCCCCTCCATCAGGAGTGACAGAGGCCGGGGCCGGGGCTAACTGCTTCCACCACAGACTCCAGGTTTGCCTGCTCGACCCTGGAAACTGCTCAGGAAGACGGGCAGTACGACCGCACAATTCCAGGACAGACTAAGTGGTTCTTACCTTGAACAACACAATGGCGTAGTCGTAGATTAACGCGGGATCCTCAGTCTCCAGGGCTCCCTTGGCGTACCACTCGATGGCGGCTTCGGGATTCTTGGTCACACCTTGCTGCCCCCAGAACAGCATCTGGGCCAATCGTTGCTTAAAGACAATAGCAATTTACAGCAGTTTAAATTTCCTGTTTAAATCCTAATGTAAGACTTAAAAGTGGGGGCAAACCTGGTTTAAAATGTTTTATGTGAAGAACGAGGAATCAGAGAGACACACTCTGTCTTCCAGTGATGGGGGGAGGGCTGGGGGAGAGCCTGAAGGTGGATTTGTATTAATTCAGCCCCCAACAGTGGTGCCTGTGTGTGTGTGTGTTTTTACTGCTGTGTGTGTGTTTGCTGGCACCCAGGGCCAGAGCTGGACAGAACTCGGCTCACATTTCACAACTCTCTTTTTCTTGTCTAATACCCACTCCTTTGGGAGGTTCTGCTATCTTTCTGGACCAGTGATCACCATGGAGATGTCTACAAATCTCCATTGCTCCGCGATCCCTCTAGAGCACTGAGCACAGCTCCCGTCCTGTCATCTGCGGATGGATCTACCATCAGAGTCAAGGCTGGGAGCTGTGGAGCAGCGAGACCCTCAAGATCTTTTTAATCTTTCTCCCTGCACCCCCGCCCCTCGCAAAAGTTCACAGAAACTTCTCTGCCAAGAGTTTCTGAAGCAAAGAAGAAAGAAGTATCCCTTGTGAGGGAGGCGATGTCAGTGGAATTTCCAAAATCACACACTGGACTTCTCAGAACTGGGAAGATGCAGCTCAAGGCCAGATGCCAAAGACAGGGGCTGGGTCTGCGGGCAGCCTGGCCCCATGGCTCCCTTCCTGCCTTGGCTCCCTCCTGCTCCGCCTGTCATCTCCTTCTCTTCCCTTTCCCCCCAGATACTTTCATCTTTCAGCGAAGTATCTGCCGACCTGCTGGGGGATCTGTAGGAGGGCAGGAGGCCCATTCCACAGGAGGCCCTGAGCAGGTGGCTTTGTTAATATCTTTCATTCTCTTTTTTCTTTCCTTTCCCCCTTGCTGCTCCTCTGTCTGCTTAGCAGCCAGGGAGGCTGCTGGGCTCTGGGTGCACTCAGCAAAGGCTGGATCCCTTGGGTAGGAAGGAGGCTCCCTCCCCGTGCAGTCACCTGGCCAGGCTTCTGGGGGGGTGGGGACAGCACTCTTCACAGTGAAATCTAAGCAAGGAATGAGACAGAGGACCCTGCCCCAGTGTGCTGCCCTTCCTCGCACATCTCAAAAGTCCATTTAAAGAACATGAGATGTTTGAGAGACAAGGTCGATCCGTTTGTCTTGACACACCGTAATGATTTTCTATTGTTCTTCCAGCTGAATACATGGCCTTCTTTTCAAAGCCCATCTAATTTCTCCTGAACCCAAGATGCGTCCTTGTTTTCTATCTGATGCATCCAAAATATCTGAAAGGAACCTGCAGGGCTGCTCACAAAGACTGTGGTGCTCTCCTTCTGGGTGGCCACTAGGACCGTACTCTGTCCCACCTGACGTCAGGAGCAGCCATGTGACTTGCTTTGCCAGTGAAACATCAGTCGTGACCTGTGCCACTTCTAAGCAGAGGCCTTAGGAGCCAGCCTGGGACACACCATGGCGTGGCCCTGCTGCAACGGCTTTGGAAGCATATGTAGAAAAGCCTCGGTCAGCCTGGGCTCCAAGGGACTGTGAGAGCAGAGCCCCGGTCAGGCCCCGCTGGACAAGAAATCCTGTGTTGTGAGCCAGAGATACACTGGGTTGTTTGAGAGGTTTTGATGGCCTGATCCACCTCGGCCAGTGGGATGTCTGAGACGGGGGAGCGTTTTACCTGGGCTGCTGCATTGCCTCGCGAGGCTTCGTGCTTCAGCCACATGAAGACGTCCCCATCTTCTTTGGTTTGCACCTTGAGTATTTCATCATCTTTTAGTCTAATGGTTTCAACATATGCCTAAAAGGAAGGAAGGAAAGAATAAGGGAAGGAAGGAAGGGAGGGAGGGAGGGAGGAAGGAAGGAAAGACGGACAGGCAGACAAACCCATATGCTATGGGCATGCAAAAGACCTGAGGGTAGTTTTAAGGCAGCAGTCAGTTGCTCCAGCACAAACTACGTGAATAACCGAAACAGGAGGCGGCCCACCATGCCCCAAGACCACATTCTTTTTAAACAAACGTATTCTGTCTCACTTCGCCACATGCGTGTGTGTTCCTATCAAAGTGTTTGCTTTGAGAGGCCGGATTTTTTTCCGCTTCCACTTCTAATATTCAAGCTTGTTTGGCAGTCCATCTGGTAGCACAGATTTCAGATCCAGAAATCTCACACACACACACACACACACACACAGCCTCAAAAAAGGTAGATCAATATTTTCTGAATATGACCTTAGTTTTTAATCCCAAAGTATTACTCTCCTGCATGACGAACCCTTTTTATTTTCAGGCTCAGCTTCAAGTATCTTTGGGCTATTTCCCAAAATCTGAAAATCTACTCTGAAAAGAAGAAGGCATGTTAATTCTCAGAATTGGAGAAAGAATGTTCTGGAGGCTCTACAGATGGACCCAAAGGGAGAGTTCACGAAGTGTTTTGAATTTGCACACAGCCTTTGAAGAAAATAAGATTCATCTTGATGCATGAATTTTGGCTGTTCATTAGAAGTCTGGTCCCATTGTTCCAGGCTCCCCCCCCCGCCCCCCGCCCCCCTCAGGATGACCCTGGGCCAGTGCCAGGGGGGGATCCTGAAGAGCACTTCCATGCCCAGCACTTGCCACAGGCAGGTGCCCAGGGGCCCAGGCCTGGTTTCCCTTCTGACTTCGTTGGTAGTTTAGGAAATACGCAGAGTCCCTGACTCTGGGCCACAGCCCCAGTCCTTCTGTGTCTCCCAGCGGCTCCTGCACTGTGCCTGTGGAGGCAGGTCTCCTTCAGGGCATCAGAGCTCTATCTGGCTTACTCTTTGCCAAGTGACCAGTGTGTGCAGAGGGTGCAGCCTGAGTGCCCTTCAGCTAAAGCTCCAAGGGACACTCTGTTCTCTGCGATGAGCCTGAAATCAGGCAAAAGCTCGAGGAATTCCCTAATAAGGGATTCTCAATGGGAGGGTTTTCGTTCATCTGGAGAACTTGGGTGTTCTGATTTTTCGATTTCTTTTTCTTCTTGTTTTATTTCCTCCTCCTCCTCCTCCTCCTTGCCATAGGACTTGAATGAAAGAAATAACATGGGAAGACACTGGTTCTGCCCTACAGGGAGGCTCATACCCTCAGGTCTTCCTGCCCATCTCTGGCATTGCTGACGTATATCAGAACCTGCCTTGCGGCCTGCTTGGCGCTGTGCTGACTACTTGCCCAGGTGGATGCATCGAATCTTTGTAACCTGGTAAGACAGTCACTCTGGATGTCCCCATCTCACACATGTGGACACTGAAGCCCAGGGAGGTTAACTAACTTGCCTGAGATCATATATTCAGTTCTTAGATTTAGGAGTTTGGATCCACGTTGCCCCACACTCTGCACCTGGCCTTGGTATTCTGTAAGGAAGAAGCAAGTGGCGGCTTTCACTGTCTCCCAGGTACCTAAGGAACTCCACTGAACTGGGCTGTGGGAGTCTGGGAAGAGACCGTGTCTCCAGGGGGCCCCAGAAGCCATGCGTCACTGTGAAGAAGGAACACGTTTGTCTTTTGTATCCCTGACCCAGCCCTTGCACTCTGCTGGGTGGTGCCATTGGGCTTTGCAGCAAGGTAGGGCCATTAGGAGCACTCTTAAACATGTGACATAGGGGACTTGAATTCTAACTCACCACCAACTACTGAAGACCTGGGCCAGTTGCTTTATTTATCTGATACTCATGTTCTGCACCCATAAAATGTAGCTTAGCATGGTACCTGCTATGTCAAAAGCACTCAGCCTACTAACCATTAAGTTTTACACTGCAAACAGAAAGACTTGGCTTCAAATCAAGGCTCCACAAATTATTTGTGGTGTAACATTGGGAAAGTTTTTTAGTATCTCTGTATCTCAGTTGCCTCTTCCATAAAATGGAAATAATATATTGAGCTTCTAGGTTAGCATGAAGATTGAGTGAGAAAGTTCATGTGTGAGCTCAGCCGCTCCCGGGTGCAGGGCCTGCTCTTACTAACCAGAAACATCATTTTTAGGGCCTTGTTCACTCTAAAGTGAGAAGCGCTGACAGCAGTTAAGAATGTCGGCCTTCCTATTGGTATTTGCAGTTTTGTACAGCTCAAAGCCTTATTTTGTGGGGATGAAGATCTACATAGGGAATTTTGTGCTTAGAAAATGGAAGGAATAGAACTTGGGGAGAGAGTGGGGGGCTGGAGACATGGGAGAGCGTTCACGCTATGTGCTGGCCTCCGTTCAGCGTGTGGCGTATGGACTAACTTATTTGTGCTGCAAAACCTGCGGGAGCTGCAGAGCGTGGTGGCTCCTGTTTTACAGGTGAGAAGCTGAGGCGGAGAGGTGAGAGGTGAGGGGAATTGTCCAAGATTTCCCACTGTGAACAGCAGGCCCGGGGTGTGAACCCAGGCAAACCCGGCCCTGGGGCCACACATGCTGCCTGCCACCCCCAGGCAGGGGGCTGCTTCTCCTTAGCAACTAGTACCACGTCAGAGCCACGTGTCTGGGCCCTGGCGTGAAAACAGATCATGTGCAAGAGCATCTGAAGACAGAGTGACCCTTAAAGGGGGCAGCATGAGGTTGTCCTCTCATCCAATTAGCATTTGGTGGCCCAGAAAGGAGCTGTGACATGAAGAAGCAACAGTGGTAGGGGACACACAGGGTATGCAGAGCCAAGGGATGCTGACAGAGATCAAATGTCCCAGACTAGCCAGTTCTGGAATCTTCCACAGTTTCCAGAAGGTACTTTTGTGGCCATTTATAAAATCAATGTCTCCAGAATGAGCACGGAGGTTCACATCTTATATTGCAGGGTTGAAACCTGTTGCCAGGTCCCCGGAGGCCCAAAGTCTGGAAACTCTGCAATCCTCAGACCACCCTGGGCCACACGCAGGAGCAGGCGCCAGGCTGTCCTGGAGATGCTGGTGCTCAGGGCTTTACCGTCTTGCCCTCTCTCAGCCTGCAGGCTGCCATCACCGATTTCAGGAAAATCCAGACGGGGGAGAGTAAAGGAAGGGAGCAGAGAGGGAGGGAGAAAGAAGAGAGAGACGGGGGAGAGAGAGAGGGAGGAGGAAGAGGGAAGACAGGAAGACAGAAGAGGCCAGGAAGATGAAAACCCTCCAGACGTGGAGCTGGAGAGGCTCTCAGCAGCCTCATGTTTTCCAGAAGCATCTGCCTTCTGCAGACTTGTGAAATATAATGGCTCTGCCAGCACTCCCGGGAGCACGGAGCAGCTGGCAAGAGGAACGGGCAGTTTCATAGCCTCCACTTAACCTGCCTGCCTCTGCTACCTCCCTTCAGAGCCCATCAGAACTGCCACAAAGAACCTGCCTTTTGAAGAGCTGAAAATCAGCTGCATGTTGGACTCCCAGTAGGACCGTGTGTTTTCTTTGTTGAAATTTAACATTTTAGGACTTTTAAAGTAAAGATGGGGAAGTATCAACTGTAACTGAAAAGAGACAGAGAAACAAGATTCCCCAAATGTGGGATGTCAAGAGACGCAGGGTTTAAAGCCACGTGCTCTGGGCACCCACCGTCTGTGATGAAGCCCTTGTCACATCTGAAGGCGTTGGCATCAACAAGACACAGTTGTCACTAGCTATTCATCCCTGGATGAGCTCTGCCCTCACACCCCTTCCATCATTCCATCAAGGTAAACACTGAGAGCCAACTGCACGTCCATCAGCGTGTGGCTCTAGGGTCACCAAGGAGAACAGACAAGGTCCCTACCTTGAGAGCTTATGGTCTGAGAGGGAGCCATCTCTGTAACCCTGGGCACAGGAGCCATGACAGACATGGGCTGGGCTCTGTGGTGACATTGCAAAAGGAAGATCCAGGGAGGAAGAGGTGACAGGTGTGCCACTATAAAGGGGGAGGTCCCCAGGGGAAACAGGGCGTGGAGAAAGCAGGAGAGAGGAGGAGCCGGGCAAGGCCAGGGGGCAGGAGCACCACAGTGTGGCCAAGATTTGCTATTGCCAGAGCTGGGGCCAAGCCAGGGTGGTTAAGAGCTGAGGATATGGAAGAAGAGGGTGGAGGCATGTCGATGTGCTCTGTGACCAGCTAGCTGGACTTGGTTCTCTGGGGTCAGCGCTTCTGAACCCTGGCTACACGCTGCACCCACCTGAGGAGCTTTAAATAGAAATACTTGCAATCATCCCTCAGGAGCCAAAGGAGATTTGTTTTGCATATAACCTAGGCACATCCCCCACATAGTTTCAATCATCTCTCCATTACTTTTCGTACTTCATACATTGAAAATGCTATGAAAATGGCCATTAGACTGGCTCATTTACGGAATAATGACAAGGGGAAAAGTCTGCACATGGTCAGTACAGACACAGTTTGTTTTTTTCTTTTTTTCTTTCCAAATATTTTCAGTCTGTGGTTGGTTGAAGCCGAGGGTATGGAACCTATAGCTATGGAGGGTCGGGGGGGTCACCAGCACTCCTGGGCCCCGCCCCTGTTGCTGCATTGAGACCCTGGGGTGGAGCCTATGCACAGGTGTTCTTTGAACCCCTGCTGATTCTGACACTCAGCCAGGTAGAGAACATCCTCAGTCCCTTGTGAGAACAGTGGGAAGGGTCAAGATGACCGGAAGACCAGAGAGGAGGCGTGTTCTCTCCTGTGGTTGCCACACACTGGGTGATTTACCAACAAAAACTTATTTTCCCACAGCTCTAGAGCCTGGAAGCCCAAGATCAAGGTGTTGGCAGGTCTGATTTCTTCCAAGGAGGCTCTCTGTGGTTTGCATATGGCTGTCTTTTCTCAGTGACCCAGCACAGCTGTCCCTCTGCACTGTCTGTGTCCTAATATCGTCCTAAAAGGACATCATTCCTATGCAATTAGGGCTCATCCTAATGGTCTCATCTAAAAGCATCACCTCTTTAAATATCTTATCTTTAAGCATAATTCCATTTGCAGATGTTGGGGATTGGAACCTCAGCATACGGATTTTTTTTTTTTTTTTTTGTGGTTCTGGGGATAGAACCCAGGGCCTAGCAAATGCTAGACAAGTGCTCTACCACTGAGCTACATCCCCAGCCATCATATGGGTTTTGAGGGGACACAATTCAACACATAGGAGATGGTGGCTGTTGTAGCAGCTCAGTGGAGAGAGGATGAAGGACAAAATCAGGCTGTGGCAGCAGGGATGGAGACAGGGAGGAGAGAGAAACTGGCATGTAGAGCTGTTGGGGGTTGTTGACGGACAGGATGATGGGGCATCAGAGACGATGCCCCAGTTTCAAGTATAGACCATGGTGCCACCAGAGGAGGTGCTGCAGGGGGTGGGAAGGAGGAGGAGGAGGAGGCTTCCTTTGTGACACCTCTGACTGCAGACAGGGACATGTAAGAAAAGCCTCAGCTGGAGACGAAGGGTGGAGTGTCATCAGCACTCAGACAGTCGGTATAGAGAACCCCTGTCCCCCCACCACCCAGAAAATGCAGAGGGAACAGGAAGCCACCATCAAGCCTGGAGGGAGAGCAACTTCTAAGGAGTGGGCAGAATAGGAGGAACTCATTCATGTCGTGAGCCACAAAAGCAAACAAACAGAAACACTAGCCATGTTCTTTCTGTTTAATCTGAAGCCGAGTCCCACTAAATCATAAAGAAGTGACATGGAGCGAGAGCCCTAATAAAGAAGATGAAATGATGTGAACCACACGTTACATAAAAGAGAAAATGAAACAAGAATCAAGGAGGGAGTTATTGACAGATCCTTGGTTTGTTAATTAGAGGTCTGGCTTTCTATAGCTCCTCATTTGCTACATTATGCTGGTGAATTAATAGATGTCTCAACAAAAGGACATTTAAATCAATGTATGACACCTGCTTAAATTCTCAAGAAGCCATTAATTACACATTCTTAAGAAAATGAGCTATGACACAACTCTTCTAAGTGTATAATTCCTATCTGAGATCCTTAATCATACGACTTTTCAGCTGCAAGATGGATCTTTTCTCTGGTTCTAACCAATTAAACATTTTCTTTCATAATCATAACATTTCATATGCCAAATCTTCAAAAGAAAAGGAGCTTGTTAGCAACATACCATTTCCCGTTGCTAATTTATGCTGAATTAGAATTCTTTAAAGTATAATATAAAAAAAAGTATAACATGAGACATATAGGGCACTATTAACACATCCTGGCTCTATGGAAAGACAAAGGAAATGTTATTTTTGGAGCCTGGTTTTGTAAAAATGTCTTTTTTTTCAGGGTGATTCTTTTAAGATACTTTATTAATAAGTTAATTCTTATTGAATGGAGGTCAAATTTTGCACATGGTTTGTGTACACTGAAAGAATATTCAGTACAAATAATAAGGGGGTGTGAGTTTATTCAGAAGGAATCATTTTCTAAAGGAATTAAAATGTCTCCATAGACGGGCTTTGGTGGTTACAGCTTCACTCATGTTTAATGTTCACTGACAGCACATATCTTTGAGTTGTTTATTTCATAACCGTACAGTGGCCTCTATGGATTTCTTTTACGAAAACCATCCATTCCCAAATATCAAAGCATGCATTTTTTGCACTTTGGGTTTCTGGTACAACCCAGCAGCGCAGCTGGGGACCCAGTGTTCTGATTCTCAATTACCCACTAGCCCAAGATTCGCCATCCTGACCCTCAGGCCTGCTCACCAAGCAGGGGAAAAGCAAGTTATGACACAGATCACAGCCAAATCCTGCCACACGGTTATGTACCGTCCCTGCCTGCACAAACCCAGGCACCCCGCTCTGTTTCATATTCCTGTGGCAGAGTAGAGTAATTGCAAGGACTGTCTAGGCAAAGTCAAAAATATTTACTATCTGGCTCTTTAGAGGAAAAAAAAAAAAAAAAAAAAAAATATATATATATATATATATATATATATATATATATATATATCACACTTCCCAACTCGAGCAGCTCATGTGCTGTGACCCTGAAGCCAACCTCCTGTCTGCTGTCCCATGACGCAGGCTGGTGTCATCAGGCCCGAGCTCTCCTTTTGTCCCTTACTACTTTGAGCCTGTTAGGTCTGGAGACGATCCCTCTGTCAGTCTAATCTAACACGTGGCTTTGTTTGGTTTTGGCAGATGTGAGCCACTGATTTCTTTGCCCAATGAGTCAATAAGATTTGGAAGCCTGCAAAATGAGGGGCTGGAGTTGGTGCCCCCTCATCTAGTCCTTAGTCCAGGATAGGACAAAGTCATCAAACACCACCTGCTGTTGACGGTCACCCAGGAGCACGGGGCCAACGAGGTTCATGTGATGGAGACAGACATTTCTCAAGTGTGTAGCACTGGGATCCTGGCCGGGTGTGGCACTGATGTCTGTGTATCGTAGTCCCTGCTTGCTCACTGCATTATTGATAAGCACCCCAGGAGATTAGTGCCTCTCACAGTTGGACTCAGTCCTCCCTAACATCTCCAGACCTTGCCATTGCACACAGTTTTGGGAGAAAGACAAGAGGTCTATTCTCCTAATGCACTTTTTTTGTTTTTGTTTTTGCAAAATCCAAATCTGTCCAGGGCCAAATCTCCCCTGCACATACCAATCTACCCACTCATGGAAACTTTCCTGTGTACGGACATGGACTGTACAACCCGAGAACAGAGTCAGAAAATGTAAACTAGAGAGGGCAAGAAAGCTTCACTCTTCATTTGATCATGCTCGCTCACCCTCTGAGAGACAGAAAAAACCCTTTATAGATAGTTCAGAAACACTGGTAAACAGCTCCCTTACATTTCCACCCATCCCAGGTACCTGGTCTCCTTGCAGCGTGTGCTGGTCAAGGGGTGTCTTCGTGGCAATATTGCTGTAGTAGGCATACGACAGTTCCCAGTCCAGGGGGTAGCTGTCAATACCCTGGTAGTGCTTGTACCCAAGATTCATTGCAGACAGTCTCTCGCTGCCCTGGCCTCCAACCAAGCTATACAGCATGCCCTGTTAGGGAAATTGGCAAAGTGTTCACAAGATTGAGGACAGGCTTGTAAAATCCTAATGCTGAAAGGTCATCCAGCTCAATCCCTATATATGATCCTGCCACTTCAGAAATTGTGAACTTGCCTTTGAAAAAAGTCCATCTCTAGTAAATCAACTAACCCAGACCTCTTATGGCTTACAAATCCACAGCTGTCATCCTTCCTAACATCTAGTATCTTAAAATGAGAAATGGGGACCTTCCTGAATTCCCTCAGGACTTTCTTGCCTCTCAGCCAACTGGTCTAAAGACCCCTGTGCTGCTTCAGCTGCATTCCCTGTGAACACGTGCTCTGAATGTGGGCACACACCCCAGCCCCCACTCTCAGAGTGTCTTTATAGGCTGGCTGGTCCAACAAGGTCATTTCCTATTTGAGGAGATAGAGACCTAGCAAGGTAGAGCACCCAGCCACTGAGTGGCACAGAGAAAGCTAGAATTTTCTACATTCGTCCACCTTTGTGGGGACGGCTTCAGGGACTCAGGGAAACATCCTATTGATCAGGAGCATCTATAAACCAGAGGCATTGCAAACGAGTCATTTAAAAGGAACAAGGAGCCGTCTGGGTGTGTGTAAGAGGATGGGTTTCCCCAAATCAGGGACAATCACGTGTGCCAATATGAAGATTAAAGGTGACCAGGGAGCATTTAGCGCTCTTTCTTAATTTCTCTCTCTCTCTCTCTCTCTCTCTCTCTCTCTTTCCTTTTTTGAGATCTCTCTGTATTGCTGAGACTGGCCTCAAACTCTATCCTCCCGTTTCAGCCTCCTGAGTAGCTGGGACTATTGGTGTGTCCTGGACTCAGTCACATATTTTTGCGATGATGGATTTTATCTGTCAATTTGTCCAAGCAATGGGGTCCCAGTTTATAGGTTATTTCTGGGTGTGTCTGAGGGTGTTTCCAGAGATTAGCACTGCGGTGGACTGAGCACAGCAGATGGCCTCCCAGTGTGGGTGGTCCTCATCCAATCCCTTGAGATCCTAAATAAAACCAAAAGGCAGAGGAAGAGGAATTGTCTCTTTTTGCTTCCTGCCTGTCTGTGTGAGCTGGGACATTGGGCTTTTCCTGTCCTTGAACTGGAATTTACACCATCAGCATCCCTAGTCCGCTCTGGCCTTCAGGCTTGGGCTGGAAATATACCACCAGCCAATATGAGCCAATTCTTCATAATAAATCCTTCCTATATATATAATCCCATTGGTTCTGTTTCTCTGGAGAACCCTGACTAATACACTTATGAAAATGTGACTTTAAATGTTAGGCAAGTTGCATAATCAATTTGGATTCCAAAACCCCAAACAAAACTGTCTGGGATGGCATTTATTTTGATGGTAGAAAGCTGGATGTGACAATGCTTTGCTTAGAGACCCAAATGACTTCTCTTAGCAGAGAAGGAATATGGGATAATGGTCTCACCCTCAGAGTAGTCACGCTCATGGGGAAGAGGACACTGTTTTTTGAAGGAATGGGATTCTGGAAAGCACGGATCAGTGTGCTCCCAGTGCTGTGTGCAGAATGACACAGAGGGCTCTTTTCCACTCCCTGAAAGCAGGGCATCCTGTGTTTACGCAGCCCCACGACCCTTCTCCTGGGCATAAAGGTCTTTAAAGGACTCCAAGGAGGTGCGACACGTCCGGTTCTGGCCAGGGTGCTGTTCTGCAGACACAACACAGGTGGCCGATGCTCCTGGAACCCACGAGATGCTCACCTGCAGCTGGTCCCGAGGCACACTTAATCCAGTTTCATAGAAGACTGCGAGGTAGTAGGATGCTTTATGGTATCCGCAGCAGCTGGAATCCATCAGAAAGGGGGCGACCGAGCTAATTTGGTGAAGACCATCAGAGCTGGAGAGTCTCTTTACAGCCTTCTCGAATATCCTCCTACCGATTTCTAACACAGACTCGCTCTGGCTCCTTGGCCCTGTAAATAACACAATTCACAGCACACGGAATTAATTACCATGGGATCAACAGGGCTTTAGAAAGAAGAGAGAAAAGCCAATTAAATCACCTGAGTTATCGATACGGCGAGTTCCACAGTATCTTGAAATATACCACCTTCCAGGGAGGTAGATGAAACCCTTTAGGGATGCCCGGGCGTCATTCTGTAAATAGCTTTTTCTTTGGCACTAAATGACAGCCTAGTCTCCTGGGGAAAGGATGGGCCTCACAGAGCTCAGCGAGTGCCTCAAGAGGGTAATTTACCCGGTGTAATTCACCACCCAATCAGGACTACTGCAACTTCCACAGAGACACTTTCGTTCTAAGACTCTCTGAAGAAGAATGTGTTTTATCCCAGAAATAGTTCTTAGGTATTGCTCTAAAAATCTGAGCCAATGAACCTGATTTTGACACCTCCTGCCTGTCTTTGGCCTCCTGTTCCTCTTGTGGGTCTCTGAACACAAAACAACGGACAACTTTCATGGGGGACTTCTAGCCTGCCAGCAGAGAGGTGTGTCCTGTGTCCTGTGCAGATTGTCACTGGATCCCTACAACCTTAGGAGGTCTGTGCTATTATTAGCCTCCTGGGTTTTCTCTGGAACAAGGCTCCCAAGAACACTGAGGCCTAGAGAAGTGAACGTGACCATTTGTATATGGGACTTGGGAATATAAGACACTTGTTACTTGGTCTAGTAACTTGTCTAAAGTTACCAAGGGATTGAGGTTGAGCCCACCCTTGAACCCAGCTTTGCAGGTCACTAAGGCCTGAATTCTCAGTCAATCTGCTGCATTCACCCCCTGACAGACAGGCAGCAACTTGTCACTGTGAATAGACACATGTCACTCAACTGCCCTGAGCCATGATGCTTCATTTTATAGAATTCTCCCCTAAATCTACAAGCAGACCAGCATCTAAGCCCAAATGAGCAAGTCTGAAGGTCCTATAATGTAACTGTTAGAGTCTTCTAAAATCAATCCACATTAATCAGCCAACAAATATGCCCTTTCTAGGACAGGTAAGGCGCTGTTCCAGATGCCATGTTACAAAGGTAACACAGGATTGCACAGATGTTATGTACGTATAACTTAGGACTCAATTATATGTAAATAATGTCAACCTGAATGTGAAGCTAAATGTCAAGACTAAAATTTCACCTTCCTAAGAACTGTTACATTCAACGTTCTTATTTTCTTCATCCTATCCAAAATAAAAGTTATTAAAAAGCAAGTTTCAGAAGGCAGCAAGAGACCCCCCTCTTCTCAGCCCTCCATCAGGGAACGGGCAGAGGTGCCCACATGGGAAGGCTTGGCATGGGGTTTATTTCTGGGCAACTCACTTGCAGAGGTCTATGCTCAAAGCAGAGGTCAGAATCAGCAAGGTCCAGGGTGACACTGTGAAAGCTGATACATTGTTTACGAGCTGGTGCTGGTCCCTGTGGGCAGGGTGGGCTGGCTTTCCCTGAGAGGGGACAATGTACCTGCACTGGCAGTCCCTCGAGCTGTGGTGTCTCCCCTCCACTGCTGTGCTTTGTTTCCCTTGATCCCAAGCACCCAGAACATAAAAGGCTGAAAAAAATTATCTTACTGAACAAACAGTCGACCCATTTCCTACATCTTTTTTTTAATAGCTGCTTTTTGCGAGAAAAATCAAACCATGCAGATTTGTATAAAATAAAAACAGAAGTGCCCTCTTCCCCAATCTTTCTTTAACAGTGAAGATAAAAGCTTGGTATGTATGCTTTGAGACATTTCCTTTTAGCATATACAATAATTCATACGTACATTCATTTACATACATTCATATACATTCTCTTTCCCAAAATGGCATATTATGCTATTATGAATTCCAACTCGCAACTTTTTTTAAAAAAACGAACTCTACATTATTATTATACAGTTGTCAGAAGCTCATTTTTTCTAATGTCTCAATAGAACAGTCATCCCGTGCTCGCCACATACAAAGTCCCACATATAAAGTGGTCTAGTGTCTGCCTTTAACCTACAACCTCTTCCTGTATGTTTTTAATCATTTTGGGATTACTTATAATACCTAATACAATGTAATTGCTATGTAAATAGTGGTTACTCTGTATTGTTTAAGGACTAATGACAAGGAAGAAATGTCCGTGTTTATTATTATTCTTTCCTGAGGCCCTTTTTTCCACCCACTCAATGCTGGAGGATAGAACCCAGGGCCTTATGCATGCATGTTAAGCAAGTGCTTTGCCACCAAGCTACTTCCCCAGCCTTCTATTCTTATTTTTGTGGGTGCATGGATCAAGCTGCAGATGCCAAACCCATAGGCACAGAGGGGCAACTGTCTTGCATTTGGAGCTGTACCATTTCCCAAGCAGTTGTCTATTTTTAGACTCTTGGGCTGCTTCCAGTGGTCTTGCTCTGAGCAACAGCATGGCGGTGGACATCCTCGTTCGCCTGCGTTCGCCTGTTGGGATATATCTGAATGATAACAGCCTTTCCCATCAGGAGTCTGGGGATTGTTTTGGATTTTCTTTGTGTAGTTGAGGTAGGAATCCCACCCTCCTCGACCATTAGCCGCCTTCTCCTCTGGATTCAATATGCACCGTAGCGTTCAGACAGGGTTGCAGCATAAATTCTACTGCTACTTATTCATATATTTACTTTTAAATATGTTCTCATTTCAGGTGCCCCTCTGTGCACAATCTCAGCAAAGCAGCATTAACATTTTGTTAACGATTCATTCCTGCCTCACCTGCTTTGCCAAATGCCTACCTAAGAAGATGGGTTTTGCCTGAGTACACACAGATCTGAGCTTTGTGGGCTCAGAGGAGGGAAGAGACTCTAAACAAATGAAGCTCCACATAAAACACTTGCCCTGCTGACCCCTGGCTTGGAACTCCAGAAATCATTAACAGGGCTGCCCAGGAACCTGGGATCCCTGGAAAATAAGGAGCCAAATCATATCCTTCACAGCGCTCAGTGAAAAACCTCAGCACAGAAAAACTTTGCGGACTGAAACATGGGCAGATTGTAAGGGCTCCATTATTTCTTTTGTATATTATAATTCTTAACTCCCCCCAAAATATTGCAATCACTTTTTGTCTGCATAAGAATCTAAACAACTTTCTGCACCAGTGACTATAATAGAAACTAATAATTCTAAGGTAAAATTGCTCATTTCACACATTTGTTAAAGTTTAAGTTCCAACTGTTGCCGAAAATCAAAGCTGTGATGTCTTTGGTGATATTGTGAAACTGGCGATTTTAAAGTCAGTTTAATGAAACTGTTAATTTCACCCATCTGGTTTAGCATATGCATTTTTTTTTAGTGGATCTGCAACTAAAACATGCCTTGTTTATAGAGATTAATGGGGGTAACGAAGAAACAAACAAACCACATAGGAGCCATTTCCCCATGCTCTGTCTCCCTGTACTAGAAGCTAAGGGACAAAAGTCACAGCCACCTTGAATTCACCTCTAGTATTTTCCCAGGGGCATAGCATCATTTATTTTGCCTTTTTTTTTTCTTTTTGACAATAATGGCATAAGGTCCCCATTTGTGTGCTCATCATTAGAAGAGGCAAGAAGCAAACTATGAGAAGGTGGCCACTTGCCGAGGGCCCCGGTGCTGGAGCCAGCATCTGATTGAGAATTCAGAAGGAGAAAGGCACCCTCGTTTCCTGTGAGAGGGGACAGGGACATCAATAGGAAAGTCATTTTTAGTTTCAAGCTTCCGAAAGGCACACTGCATCCAAAGCAGAAGTTCGAAAGACAGAAAAAAAGGAAAAGGAGAGAATGTCACTAAGCCATTAGAAGGAGTGTTCATCAAGTTTACTGATTGAAACACACAGCGCTTCCCTGGTTTGCATTCTGAGTCAGTGAGCCCCAGGGGCTCCCCAAGCTTTAGGGGCTGGTTTCTCTCTCTCTCTCTGGTACCTTTCAGCACTGTGTAAACTTCCTGATCTCCCTCTGTCCCTCTCTCCTTGTCCTCCTTCCTTCCTCCATCTCTCTCTCTCTCCTTCAGGTTATTCTCTGGGTTGGAAAATCAGAGCTCATTCTTTGTGTTGCCCCTCCCCCACCCCCCGTGTATTTTTTAAAAACTAAAAAATTTATGCTTTAAAAAAATAATAAAGATGCTGGTTCTTCAACAAACACAAGTGAAACCGCTCTTAAAAGAAAACAGTGTCCTGGTGTTATTCCACAACATCATTGCATTTTGACCACATCCATGCTTGCATTATAGGGTCTCCAAATAAACGCTGCGGTCCTTGGCAAAAAAATGAAATGGAAAACAAAGTAGTGTTTTGCTAGTGAAGCCGGTAACTACTGGGCACCTCACGTGGGGACACCTCTTCCCTACATCAGCACTCCAAAGCCTGGGGCAGGAGGCAGCAGTGGCCCCAAAAGAACCAGGCAGATGGTGTCCTCCCTGGGAAAAGAGCCCAGCCTCAGGCCTGGCCTCCTCCCAGAGAACCATTTATTGGCAGATCTTGGACTTCCTGTAGCCACAGGCACCAGCTCCAAGGTACCCAGGAACGAGGGCAGATGTCCCCAGAGACATGCTGTCCATCTCGCCTGTCTTCCTCCCCCATCTCTCCCTGCTTCATGTCATCTGCTTAGAACCCTGGACCCCGCCTGCCTGCCTGCACCTGAGCCTGAGTCCTTCCAGCCTGCTCCCTGTGCTCAGGTCTCCAGCTCCCTCACCACTGCCTTTCCTGCAACCTCCCTCCAGCCTCGCTTTCCGGGATGTGAGCTGAAAGGGGTTTTGAATTCAAACAGTTCAGTTTTGACAAGAAAGGTGTGACAGGAGAGGGAAAGAAGTAGCCAGCACAACTCTTAAATAATGAAGAAGCGTGCATACTAAACACGCCTGTACCAGCACTAGAAAAACCCAAAGGCTCGTAGGGCGATTCCTATTCCCTGGCAGGAGCCATTTTACTAGAGAATCAGAAGCTCCCCAGGAAACATCGCACAGGTTGACTGATCCAAACGCCCCTGGAA